ACAAATGAACAAACATACAAACAAGGTATGCAAACATACTTATATACTACGTAAATGAAGAATGTGTACAGTAAATTTAATCCACACACACACACACACACACACACACACACACACACACACACACACACACACACACACAACACACACAAAGACAAAGAAAAGAGAAGGGAGAGGAGAGCTAGAGAAAGAAAGAGAGAAAGATTTGTATGTAATACTTTTAATATTTGTTTTTTAAAGTAATATTTATTCAGTTAATTATTATGTAATTCGGTTATTTATTCCTGACTTACTATGATAACAGCGACATCAATAACAACAACAACATCATCATCAGCGACAACGATAAATGGTTCAACAGAGCCAGCTTCACAGCTATCAAAGATGGAAACAAATCCTTCATATATGACCTCAATGAGATAAAAAAAACACAACCAATCGCTAAGAGGATAGACAACAACATTAACAACAGAAATTACAACCAAATCAGGAAAACAACAACACAACAACAACACAACAACAACACAACAACATCATCAAATACCAAATAATCAATCAACAACTACAAAACCAATAAACTACACCAAAAACACCAAATAACTTGATCAGCCAGCAACAACAACTACAACGTTTGCAAGCAACAACAACAACAGCACATAAAAAAACATCATCCAACAACAAAAACATCACCAAAAAACAACAAAAATCATCCACAAACACCAAAAACACCAAAAAAAACCCAACATTAAGCAACAAATCAGCCACACTATCTGCCACGAAGATCTGTATCAAATGACCCATCTCTAATGTCTCATTTTGAACTACATCTATGCATATCTTTTGGCCGGCACTCTATCTATCTGTCCTGGACAAAAATTAATTCCACCAGTGTAATTCGCTACGCTCTACATACTAAATTACACGTGTATTGCAAATTGCATTTCGTAGTCCCAGCTATAGCTATAGCCGGGACTACAAAATGGAATTTGGATTTTGGGGTTTTTTCTACTTTTGCATATACTAACGGAGATGAAAAATGTGTTTAAATGATTATCATCATTCACTATTATCATCATTATAGTGATTATAACTTGTATTGTTTGTTAATAGCAGCATTAGTAGCAGTTGCAGTTGTAGCTGTAGTAGAAGTAGCAGTAGTAGCTACATTAGAAGTAGTAGTAGTAGTAGCTGTATTAGATGTATGATGATGATGGTAAGGATGATGATGATGATGATGATAATAATAATAATAATAATAATCAATTTTTTCAAAAGATAGCTAAAGAGTGGAAATGACAAACAGCATATTTTATAATTCATTCACTAGAGACGGGCTTGTACATAAATGCAGAGGAGCAGTTTCATTGTGTACATGTTTAATAATAATAATAATAGAATAATAATAAGATAATAATAATAATGAATAATATTTACCATCATCATTATCACCACCATCATCGTTATCATCATCATCATCGTCATCATCATCGTCATCATCATCGTCATCATATGATCAGTGGAGGTAAGGTTTTCACATTGCATCTGCAGATAAGATGATAACGAAGATGATGCTATACTCTGAGATCACTGTGAAAACTTATATTGAAACTGGGTGTACAACATAGCACAGAAAGAATGATTCAAATGTGTGTGTCTGTATGTGTGTGTTTGTTTGTATGTGTGTGTTTGTTTGTATGTGTGTGTGTGTGTGTGTTTGTTTCTATATGTGTGTGTGTGTGTGTGTGTGCTTGTCTTTATTTGTTGTGTGTGTGTGTTTGTTTCTATATGTGTGTGTGTGTGTGTGTGCTTGTCTTTATTTGTTTGCTTGTACTTGAGTGTGTAGTTTTGCGTAGTTATACCTAAACTAAACTGAGCATTTTACCTAGCAAAACTATTTAAACATAGTAGGTGTATGAGGCTTGTTAACACACCACACACACACACACACACACACACGTACACACACACACACACACACACGTGTAGGACTTACTATAGAAATAAAATTAAATACAAAGGAGACAAAAGATTTAAAAACGAAAGACCCAGGTGTTCTACGTCACCATATTACGTCATCTCATATCGTCATCCCATTTCGTCATTCCATTACGACAATATATGCATATGACGAGGTCACTTAAGAGTCTTCTCAGCCATTTCGTTTATTTTATTTCAATATTTTTTCAGGATCGAATAAATTATTGTATTGTGCTGTATTGTATTGTATTGTATTGTGTGGTTTGTGTTGTATGGTATTGTATTGTATTGTATTTTATGGTTTGGTTTGTTATAATATTGTGTTGTATGGTATTGTATTGTATTGTATGGTTTGTGTTGTATGGTATTGTATTGTATTGTATTGTTTGTGTTTTATTATATAGTATAGTATTGTATTGAATGATATTGTATTGTGTTGTATTATGGTATGGTATTGTATTGTATTGTATTGTGTATCACTCCATTACGTCATTTCAACACTAAGCCAACAAATAAATCCTTATGAATAGTAATGTTTCGTCTTCTTTTGCTTCTAACCAAAAATTTTTTTCAGAGCAATTTCAATGTATTTAAATTAACCCTACAAATAATAAAATAAAACCAACTTCGTGGATTTACGGTTGTTGTTGTCAGGTTACCGAATCAGTTAGATCAATGAAATACAACACAATACAATACCATTAAATACAAGACAATACCATAAATACAATACAGTACAATACAAGACAATGCCATACAATACAATACAACCCCATACCATACAATACAATACAACACAATACAATACAATACGTACAATATCATTCAATACATTACTACACAATACCATACAATACAATACAACACAGTAACATACAGTAAAATACAATACAAAACAATACCATACAATACAACACAATACAATACAACACAGTGTCATACAATACAATACAAAACAATAAAATACAACACAATACAAAACAACACAGTACTATACAATACAATACAACACATTACCATACAATACAATACAACACAATACCATACAAAACAAAAGTTGGGATTGAATCGCATAATATTCATATATAAAGATACCCATTCAATACACATGGTCGGTCATGTAAATGTTGAAATACGCACATATGATAAAAAAATGTCAAACATCTATCTTTTTCTCTCCCTTTCCCTTTCTCTCTCTCTCTCTCACTCTCTCTCTTTCTTCCTATCTATATATTTTTTATTTATTTATATTTTATATAAAGGATATATATATATATAATATATATGAAATAAATTACGTTTATGAAAAATTTCCCAGATGAATGCTATACATCTATCTAAAACACTCACACACATAAACACACACACTTACGTAAACACACACAAACACACACACATAAACACACACACACAGGCAAACACACAGCAAGATATATATATAATATACCGCTCATTGTTTTCTACCTGGTTTAAAAAGAACATTTATTTCAATAGTGGTGGTAGTATTAGTAGGTATTTTACTAAAGTTTTATCATTTTCATCATTTATTGTTCTTAGTTATATCGATGTTCGATACATCAAAGTACGTTATATCGAATGTTTTCTAATTAATTTCATTTACTGGAAGGAATGTTATAAGAAAGGTATTATACGATTTGTTGAAATGTTTGAGGTGATTATCAGTTTTCCATATAAAAACTTGTAAAACTGTATTAAAAGTTGATTTAGTAAATTAAAAGTATCCAGTAATTTTACAGTAATACTGATACGACACAGAGAAGCAATTCAAAACAGAAAATTATCGCTAGAAGTAGTAACCATAGTAAAAAAAATGGTAGTATTAGCCATAAAATTCATTAGTGATAATAAAAAACTGACAATGAAATCTATAGTACTAAATCTAATTCATTATAAAAATTAATTAGAATTTTGTATGCCGCGGTAATTAATATATAAATAATGAAATGAAACAGCCATTGTTTTGTCAGAATAGTAATGTACTTTGCATCCCCTTATGTTTAGCACGTATAGTTCATCCATTCAATATGTACCATATCGATCGATTTGCTTGGCTTTATTATTATTATTATTAGATAGATACACATATACACATACACAAATATATATATGTGTGTGTGTGTGTGTGTGTGTGTGTGTGTGTGTGTGTGTGTGTGTGTATGTGTGTGTGTATGCAAATATGTATAAGATATATAAAACCATTATTCATTAGCATGTAGCACAAAGTATAGATATGCAGCAACACAAACCAAACACATGCATACCATGACATTTTGTAGTCGTAGTACAATAGGCTTATTATTGAGCTCTATGTCAATCATACACTCACTCATTTTTTATATTCATTAGTGTGTGTGTGTGTGTACCTGTTTGTGTACGTGTGTGTTTATGTGTGTGTGTGTGTGTGTGTGTGTGTGTGTTTGTGTGTGTGTGTGTGTGTGTGTGTGTGTGTGTGTGTGTGTGTGTCATGAATAATGTATGTATCGCGAATTGTATTACGTATTAATGCATCGCAGGGTTCGAGTGTGAGTGCGCTAAGCAGTGAAGAATAAAAGAATGAATATTTGAATGAGTGATTGAATGGTTGAATGATTGAATGAATGAATAGAAGAAAGAATGAATGAATGAATAGAAGAAAGAATGAATGAATGAATGTTAAAGCTATTTGAATAGGTGGAGGTGTCTAGGATATTTTCAGTTGATTTTATAATCTTGTATGAATTCCTAGTCAATTTGATTGAAATGATTTAAGTTTCTGCTTCATTTGGCCATGTTTATTTTATTCTCACCTAGTGCTAAATATTTCTGGCCATTTAAATTAAGCTATTGTAGGAAGAGAGAGATAGTAGATTGAATTAAATTTCATTAACTTTCAATCTTTTGGATAAATTTTACATAAAACGTAAAATAATATTATTTTGAAGAACTTCAATATTTGCAGAAATGATTTTTACAGGTAATGCTAAACTGTAGAACTAATTGTTGAATGAATTTACCTAAAGAACCCCAGCCAAAGAATAGCATAAAAACATAACACGACAACAATAACTCTCGGAAACCAATTGTAGAAAACAACAACGACAAGATAACGATGGCCACAAGGTACTCAGCATCTCGACTTTCCTACCACAGCACTCTGCATCCGCCATCATTCGAGAACCACGTGGAAACCTATCGTTCCCGATCACGCAACAACAGCACCAACCTCTACAACTCCATAGACAGAAGTAGGAGCCCCAATCTGGATGCCGAATTAAAAGGGGTCGAGAAAAGTGGTCGAGACTATCACGTAACCGTCAATTTGAACGCCCTGCAAGCAACCAATCAAATCAACAGCCTCAACAACGCCACGTTAGATAATCTCCGAAACAGGCAAGCCAACGGCAAGAGCCTGCTTCAACAAACGACGACCACAAACGTCTTTCAGCCCGGCTTCAGCAACATCGATAACTCGTACGCCGAGTACAACACGTCGACAACTGTCGCCCCTAGGAGCGGTCTGGCAAGGAGGACAGTTGTCACATTGAATGGAGGTGATGATGCATCGTTATACGCATATCAACAGCAGCTTCAGCAGCAGCAGCAAGTTCAGTATCTTTCTCAACCGTCGCCGAGGCAGCACGTATTTTCCACTTCCTCGCCATTCAATTACAAATCTGTCTCAATTTCATCCTCAGTTTCTCCGCAGTTTTCGAAGACTCCTGTCATTGAGAATGCTTACACGGTTAAGTCTATAACTTCAAGCAACCAGCAGAGGCAAGCTAGCACCATCAACAAGACACCACGGAATGACACCGTTAGTTAGTTTTGTTGAATATTATTTTTATTTATAAACGACCAATAAAATGTGAAATAAAAAAAACATAATAGTTTCTCTTTAGCTAAGAACTTTTTATTGATAGATATAAAAATATTTTAATTGTTTAAACATTAAAATCATTTTTGGATGAGTAGATTTCATGTTTGTTTGATAAAGAATTAACACCAACAAACATAATTAATAATTTGGTAACGAAAAATATTAAAACAGGTTGAATTCAACTTGAATCTGAATGGTCAGCTGGTGAGGCAAGTTCAGCCAGTGACCCAAAAAACCACTGACTGGACGATATATGGAGGTGTGCAGATTCCAGTGCCCGCTGAGGAAAAGGTTGAATCGTACGTGTCTAGAACAAATCAACGGTTCATTGAAGACGATGGTGATGAAGAAGAGGAGGAGGAGGAAGAGATGTTACAGAGAAATGCTCTCAAAAGTACTCCAGAAGGTTTCATTTGATTCAAATATCTTATAAATTAACGTTTCATTTTGATGATTTTTCTAACGGTCACTTTCTTAAGATGTGTTGCTTGAAATGTACGCAACAATGTTCCTGATAACTTTTCTTGATGCGATTTTCTTTCATATCAAATGGAATAATTTTTTAAAATTTTATTATCATATTGCGAATTCTATTAACAGAGACTTACAAATCTCTCTACGATATGACGAAGAACAATTGGTGGCTCAATCTCGAATATGGCAGCGCTCCGAAGGTCAGAACGGAAAGCGAGAGGAAAAAAACTCTCCCGAAAGAAACTGCTACCGAGAGTATAGATGTGGTTTTAGAGCAGGTGTTTTCAATTTTTTAAAAGCTTAAAATGTTTAATTTGAAAATTTCGACTTCTACTAAAGATTTCATTAGTTTAAAGTTTGACTAACTTTGAAATTGAAAACCAAACATAACAGGTGAAGCTCGTTCTCGACAATTACACGGCCCGAGCCAACGTGCAAGTGAGAAGTGAACGAATCGTTCCTATTGATTTCAGAAGCAAACTCTACTCTGTAACCGCAGTTATCGTCACTAAAAACATTGAACTAGACATGAATTCAAGTGACGAGGCGGTTGATTTGTACGAAAAAGCCCTGGCAATGGAAAGACGCTCTGGCGGAAAACTTTCGAACGATGACATCAAAAAAATCTTTGTCAGAATGGTCGAAATAAATAAACATTTGCCAAACAATAGCAATCCTAATGTGAAATACGACAATTTCGTTACGAAAAATTTAGAAAATTACGATTTTAGCGATGGGGGCGGTACGGCAAGGCGAAGTAACTTCAACAACAATCAGGCGATGGCTTCTAGCAACAACGCGTTCAGCTCAAGGACTTACTCAAACTTCACAAATGGCGTGGGATACAGCAATCAAAACTCTGTATTTGCTGACGGTCCCAAAAAGAAATCCTCTTCAAAAATGAGACAGATGAATTACTGACAGTGACACAAACTTTTAGAAATATTTTCAACATTTTTAACGCTTCTTGAAATAGATTAATACATTTTAAATTTATTTAAATCACTTAACGTTTCTTTATTTACTTTTACAGTAAAAGTAAAAGTTTTAATTCTATTTGTAGAAATTTTTTGGCGGAAACTCAGTGATATTTTTGCATTCACTATTATTTATGTTAAATTAATAAATCATCTACATTTTAAGACAAAACTTTAGAAATTATTTTTATTTTTTGAACTTTATATCTCGTTTAATTCATACAACACTTGTTTGCATATTAATTATAAAAAAAATTAATTTTTTGCATTTACTGTTTTTGATATCAACTTAACCGTTAAATTTAAATTTGTTTTCTTCAAGCTTTTAACGTTATTTAACTGTCTTATAACCGAAATGCAATTTAAATGCGAAAATTGTTTACTTGTTAGGAAAAGAAATTTTTTTGTAAGATTTTTTACTTATTTTCTCTCAAAATTAAAATTAATGTGCTCTTTAACGCTAGAAAATGTACTGAATAGTTGTAATGTACCTAGTTTTCTTTCTCGTGCCTTATCCTTTCTGGGTTTCAGGACATTGGCGACCGTCGACTTCCACAAAACCCGATCTTTAACACTTTGTAAGAGTTGAAATATAGTGAATGTACCTACTACTACTGTAGTAATCTGTAACGTAAAAAATAACACGGATATTGCATGTCACTAATAAATAATTGAATAACAGATCGATAATAGACTAATGGTGATAAATGAAATTTTTTTTTTATATTTCGATTTTGTTTAAATTTCCAAAAATTATTTGAAAAACTTTTTCAGAAACTCGCAGTCATCGAATTCTTCTACAGCTACTTTCTACTTGAATTTTCAAAGTTTTTTTATTTCTCCGGAATCCTACCCTGGCAACCAGCGCAAAATGTTCTGATTGAGTTTTGGTACATCGATGCTCTGGCCGTCATCGCCATGAGCCATTTCTTAGGGTTTGGCGCTATTATATTTTTGAATTCGCATAAAACTATAAAACCCGATGATTGTGTTAACATATAAAAAAATTCTTTGCGCATATGCTTCATTAACTAATATCATTCATATTTAATATAAAACATTTTATTCATGTTGTTCATCTTAGTACATTTTATATTTTCAGAATAGTTACAACATTTTTAGAAACTATTCAGAAATCTGTTCTGCTGACTGTTGGCTTAACATCATGTGCTGTCCTGTTCAATATGAAAGACTCTAACAAGTTTAATATTTATGAATATGTCAGTGTTTTTTCCTTCATTTTGTTCATGACATTTGTTAAATCTTCAACGTTGAAAACATTCATTGGAAAATGGTACCTTTACGAAAATAATATAACGTGCAAGGAATGTAGGAACAAATTACTAGCTAACTATAGCATTGAGACTGTCAACTCAAATGTATCCAACGATGTATGCATGCATGGTGGTGGAGACTGCATTAGAAGGATTTGATTCAACTTATTTCATTCCATTTTGCAAATTTAAAAATGTTTTTTATGGAAATTAAATTATTTTAAAATAGCTCGTGTACTTTCATGTGTTATTTTCAATAAATTATTGTTACGACTTTAATGTTGTCACTATGTAGGCTACTACAAAGCGATAAATAATTTGGTGAGAACGTTTGTTTTAATGTGAACTTGAAATGACGTGAACTGCTGTAAACATAAACAACCCACTATTTAAAATTTGTTTACATCTATATAACTAAAAGAAAAAACTTATGAAGTAGGATACATTTTATAAGAAATTAAAAACCGAAAAATCTATTTTTAAAAAATGGAAAACGGCAATAGCCTAAATAATTCACCTGTTAACTTGATCGCAAGTGGAACCGGAGTGGAGTTAAAAGCTAATGCGGAGGAACAGAACAAGGAATTTTTTTCTAAAATTAATAAATTCATTGAAAAGTCATGGACGTCCATACACAAAGATTTGAGGCCCCATTTCAAAGATTTAAAAAGTAGCGGCGACGTGGCGAAACTTTCCAACTCAGTGAAAAGAATAAAAGTGAAAGATCTTGAGCAAAGCCTTAAAAGACGCCATTCGCAGAATAATGATCGGAACAGAAAGATGCATCTGGAAAGTCAGATACAAAGGGAACTGCAAGAAGACTTTCCAGATAAAAATTGTACGTACGAATTTTTCCCACCATCATTACCTCCATCAAAAGAACCATCAAATGTGTACGTGAACGGCGGAAAGACCGAGGAAGCATACAAAAATAATGACGAAAGTACTTTAATCTCAACACTAAACTTGACCGGCATTGAGAACATATCATCATCGATGTATCTGCAGATTTTGTGCCTACAATCTCTCCTCTTGGAACAGTTCGAGAAACAGCTGACTCAGCAGAAAGCAAACATTTCCATGCCGCATAAGGATTTGCTCACCTTCTTTCCCAAACAATTTTTGCATTTGTTCGATCAAGATAACGACATAAAATCTAGCAAAGAATCGCAAACTGATGATGTTAAAAATTTTTATTTGAATAAAGTCAATGAACTGAATCATTACAATTTGCTTGGGAAATCGACAAGAGGAAAGAATAAAAAAGAATATATAGCTTTAGCAGATAGACTTTTGAAGGATCAAAAATTAATACAGCAGCAGTTAAAAGAGTTGGTTTTGAAGCAGCAGTTGCAGCACCACCAGTTGGAACACCTGAGCAGCAACATAACTGGTTCCTCTTATGCTAGAACTAAAAAGTCTGAATCAAAAACAGTTCAAAGTAAAAACATTAAAGCGAAAAGTTCTATCTCGACAGCATATCGATCTATTGAACAATGTTCTAAAATGATGAGCCAGAAAAATCCAAAAGCACTAAGTGCGTTGATGAAACGCGAGAAATTTGACATATTTTTAGAATTCGACCAATTGGAATATCGCATTCAACAAAATATCGCAAAAGTTGTTGATGCTATGAGCAAAAAATTGAAAATGCGTACTTCTGTTTTAAATATTACTGACAAGCGTCAGTTGGAGAAAAGTTTGCTAAAGATTAACAACATCTGGGATGATTACAGAAAACAGGCAAACATACTCAAGAGATTCCGTGGGGGTAAAAATTTTGATTTAAACATTTCATTATCTAATGAAATGCTTTCTCTCAAAAAGAAAACACTCAATCGATCGAGTAATGTCGATCCAGTTATGGAACTAAAAGAACAGCTGATCCATCTTCAGCTCACGATCGAATCACTGATTAGTAACATCGATCAAAAAGTTCAAAAATTTTACTACAACAAACTTATATGTACCATTCAAAAGTTAGACGAAGTTTTGAGCTTTACTCAAAATCTCATGACATCATTTGTAAGTTCGTGTGAATGTTCTGAAGAGATGATTACTCAGTCGTCAAAATCCCACCAGCAAATTTCTCTCAACAAAACTAAATCTTCGAACGTTGACACGTCGATAGAGTTCGATCATTTCACAGCCGATTCTTACATGACAAGTGCCGCCTCGTTCACATCTTCCAGCTCCATTTACAAAGACGTCCCAGCAAAGCAGCAAAATTCAGATAGCAGCATTGAAACTGTTAATGGTACCGGTGAAAACGATGACAAGAAAACAGAAGGTTTAGAATTGGCTTGGGGAAATTTTGTGAGCCACGGATGGGTGAAGACCTTCCCAATCGAAATCGGCAAACCCCATTCAAAATAAATGTGTAAATGGAAGTTTATGCTATTAAGTACTTGGCTGATTTGTTGTTTAATAATTTTTTGTTATAGACTATTATTTCACAGAATAATGAACGCGCTAACAAATGAATTTCTTTCAAAAAAAATTGAAAAAGCTTAATGATATGTTTGTAGTCACTTTGATAATTAATAAACGGAAACTTTCATTAAAAAATCACACATATTTAATATTTAAACACTTACATATAACAATTAACGGCAATAATAAATATTTAAAACGGCCAATCAACTTAGGTAACAATGTAGGTATACCCTATATCTATAAACCATTTTTCGTAGCATCAAAAAGCGTGGTTATCGAATTAAGTGTAATGTCTTATCTCTTCATCACGCTAATAAATTTTATCTTAATATAAAAAAATTGAAATATAAAATTTAATTATTTTTGAGGAGCAGAGAAGCATCGTTTGACAGTTCATTTAACACTGCTGACATTTTGAGGAGAAGGTTTCTGAAGGGTTGATTGGGTTGTCGGTGAGTCGGTTCGTCTGCGGGGTGTTCAACATGGGTGTTCCTCGCTCCAAACCTCTTGCTAATCCGTTCGCATATTAAGTGAACCAGCCTCTCAAAGACGATGTCGACGTTGATGTTGTCTTTGGCTGACGTTTCAAAAAATTCCAAACCTGATTTTTTTTTGGCAACGTTAAACTTTTATAGCGTCTATAAATTTTTGAATAGCGCTATTTTGTCAGTCGGTATAAAAATAATATTAATTTCATTGTTATTAGAGTATTTAAATTGTTTCAAATAAAGCTGTGTGATCCTAATTTTATCACATTCCTTATTCTACCATGATCAAATCAAACTGTTAAAACCGTGACAAAATTGTTCACTTCCCTAAAATCAACAAGACGAAAAATGTTATCTTCAACCCCGCAACAATATTTTAAAATTAAACAATAAAAAAATTAAAAAATATGTATTTATTTTTTTGAAATAAGAGGTAGCAGGCACCTAACTGGTCAGCAAGTCTTCGTCCCCGTTCCGTCGAAACGACCCTCTCGTGTTCCAGATCAAACTTGTTGCCTACCAAGATGACCTGAGCATTGTCCCATGAAAAGGTTTTTATCTGGGTGCACCTTTCAGTAAATGTATGTGTATAGTTTTGTTTGTTTGTGTGTGCGTGTGTGCGCGCTTTGTGCGTGTGTGTGTGTGTGCAGGTATGTAGGTGTGCGTTATTTATTTTTTTATTATTCCCATAGTTATTTCTTTGATTGTATCAGTTATGATTGTACGCTTAAGGCGCTTAAGCTCATGCTTAGATGATTGAGTATGTGTGTGCTCGCGTGTTTTCGAGTAAGAATAGTTTGGACATGAATACGCTAGGTGTGTTTGTACGTGTGCTTGTGTGTTTGCATTTCAACAACCATACCAACTAAAATCTAGTATGTGCAAAAGCAAAACATTAAAAAGAACCAACCAATCTTGAACGGAGTTGAAGGAATCGTCATTAGTGACGTCATACATGAGTATGAAACCCATGGCCCCCCTGTAGTAGGCTGTTGTGATGGTTCGGTACCTCTCCTGGCCTGCCGTGTCCTGTGTGTGTTTGTATGCGTTTGTGTCTTCAGTGATGTGTGTGTTTGTGTTGGCTGGTGTGTGTGCGTGTTCGAGCTACATAGACATGCGAGTGTGGAAAATGTTCATGATGAGTCATTTGAACTAAAAATGTTTTTTGTGTATTTTTTAGTACCTTTAGCTCCTATTTTTTATATTAATTTTAAACAACAAAATCTTTCACTTGAATGAACACAACATAAAATTGGAAATTTGGAAAAACTTTCGCCAACCCAAATTTGCAATTTTATCCGTTTCCCTTGTTGGAACACCGTTTTAACTTTGAAATCAATGCCGACGGTGCTGACGAAAGAAGAGGTGAAAGTGTCGTCTGCATATCTGAAGAGGAAGGAAGTTTTGCCGACACTGCTGTTGCCGATGATGAGGAGTTTGAACATGTAATCAAAGTTCTGGTCGGCCGCATCTTTCTGCCATTTTGTGTCGTTCGAAGAAGCCATGACGTGTGCGTTTGTGTGCGTGTGCTTGCCTACGTACGTGCTTGTTTGTGCGTATGTGATGCTTCTGTTGCGTGTACAAATTCAAACCTATATTCGTTTGATGGAGACAAATTGTGAATATTCACTGGTAGTAGTAAATTGAGCAGAAGAAATTTTCAAAAGTAGATGCAAGGTTGGGTCGGTCGGTAGGTAGGTGCGGCAATGGCTGGCAGATTTTGTAAGTTTGGTGAAAAATAAATTTGCTATGTCAAAAATGCTTTTTACAATTATTATCAATCCTTTCACTTCTAATAAATTATTAAATAAATAAAGTCTGAAGCTGATATGAATAAATAGTAAACTGTCGTCGTTGAACGAGCAAAAAGTACAAAAACAAATTGATGTTATCACATTGGAGATTTATCAAAAACGCTTGAACTTCTAAAATTGAAACTTTGTTTATATCTACAAAATTTACTTTACTAAGTCAATTAAATCCAGTTAATCTGAAAATTAACCAAACTAAGATAGAATGATACTAATAAATAATAAATAAAAGTTGGATAGAAAATGACGACGGATCCCAATCTAGGATGGCGATGAAGGGATTGGATCCACCAGCATTGATCCAGTGGCATACAACAGGACAAATAAATTTTTCTCTCCTTGCTGCTTCTGCAAACTGCCAGCCTGCCTGCAACCTACATCATTAATGAGTCTCCTTCACTCTCTTCTCTCTATCTCTCTTTCTCTCGTACATATACCGTATACATACATAAGTATTCTGTTTACGTGCGTACCGCAACACACGTTTGTACGTATAATACGCAATGAGTACGCTTTTGCAATTCAAACGCCTTCAAGTGTGAGCGATATATAGGAGGTGCATATACGTGTGCATGATGTGTAGCATGCCTACTTGTTCGTACACAAGTGCGTGCTGCACCTAAGCTCATTGGAAAAGACAGAATGTTTGCCCGGTTGAAGTAAGCTGGCTCACCACACCACAAGCTGAATATTTTCTTCAAATGATCGGATTCGAGTTAATTCTTCATTAGAAAAATTGTAATTGTACATAAAATAAGCCTCAACAAACCATCCATTATACAAACGATAACGGATTTATGAGATATGTAATTAAAGAGACACGATCTCCATTTAAAACTTCCATATTTCACGAGTTACACAGACTCGACGTGTCGTATTGTTCTCATTATTAAAATCCTTCCGTACTAGCAACTATCAGGTGTTGCTAACATTTTTTCACTGGTGACTTGAAACAAATTCAACTGCTAAATTTCGACGAAAGATTTAAAAAACACGTTGTACATATTAGTTACATCACTATTTCCCACCAGTTTAATACTACAGACCTGGACAAATTCCAGGTTCATTCATCGAAGAGAACATTAACTTAATTAACTCATAATCTGGATAATTACAATAGCATGGGAGCCTTATCGACCTTAACATCGAAGGAAAAAAATTCCAGCTTCATGTTTAAAACTTTCTCATTATGCGTTCTGTGATAGATTTCTGTTGCAAAATTCGAAAACCTTTTTTTATGAAACAAAAAAAAATAAATAAAGTTTCGTCTGAAAGTTATTCTTGCGAGATATTAGTAGCCAGCCACACACTAAACATCAGCCTGCTTGCAATCAAAGTACATGCCTGAAATAGATTTTTAGACATACTATTTTATATTACACGTACGCATGGTTTAACGGTGAAAGCAGACCTAAGATTCAGGAGCTGACACAAACACGCTAATTAAAATCTTTCAAACGCTGCAAATCTTTAGGACACTTCAACTTAATCGATACCTCCACCCGGTTTGATATACAAGCAACCAAATTTTGCTATATCGATGTACGTATTGTCTTGTGTATCGCTTTCATTTCTCAGTAATAATTTAATTGTTAGGGAGAGTTAGTGCCAGAAAAAAAAAACAAAAAAAAACAACATAGGACGTATTTGTATTATTTATTCGTTAATTATTATCTTCTAGATGAATTGAAAACATTAACTTCTTCAATGCATTCATTCGTCCATTCATTTACCTAAAACATTAGCCAATCAATCAATCAGTCAATTAACCAATCAATCAATCAGTCAATCAACCAACTAATCAATTTAAAAAATGATAAATAACAATACCAGTATTTTAAAAAACATCAAAACTAATATAATAAACAAAGATGACCTTTCATAGCTTATTAGTTTAACTATGGCAAACAAATATAGAAAAAGAGAAAAATTAAAACCAAACAATAATAGCAACAACAATAATAATAATAATCATTTCTTATTATCTCACATTTTCAACGTATATTTACAATAGCGCTAATTATGAACATTTGAGAAATAATAAGAAAACAAAAATAATAAACTAATAATAATAATAATAGTAATAATAATAATAATAGTGAAAATTCTAATTATTATTATTTATGTGTGAACACCTAGAAATGTATTATTTAGCGTTCAACTTTTGGACCTAAAAGACGTGTACATACATACATACAGATTAAGACATATGCTGGATATATAATATATATATATATAATATATATCTACAAAACATTAAGATATATATATATACACAGATATCTCACCTCAATTTAAAAACACAGCTAATACGTACGCACATAAACATAACATAAATAACCCGAACAAATGGTGTAGCATCGTAACTTAGAAGACAAAAAACAAAGAATAATATATCATAAAAGGATTAGTCATCGTCGTCATCATCTTCATCATCATCATCATCATCATCATCATCAAGTACGTCATCATTATCATTACGACGGTCATCATCATCAGTTTTACCATCGACACCATCGTAATCGCCTTCTTCTTCGTCATCTTCTTCGTCATCAGTGACATCATCATTCCCAGTCTTCTATATCGTCTGTAGTAAGCGTCTGCAGTGTGTTAACAATCAAACAATGATGACAATGTGATGACGATGATGAATATCATAATGATGACGTAGCTAATGTGATCTCGTGATGTCATTGATAACTTTATTAAAGTGATTATAACGATGGTGATGATGAGATCGATAACAGATGAAACAATGATTCAAACTGATGACGACAATACGAATAATCAAATGATGATATGAGCGAAAACGTTATAGATTACTTGGAAGAAATTAATAAATTTAACAATTTGATCGGTAAGATGTTCAATCAATCAACTAACCAATCAACCAACCAGTCAGCCAGCCAATCAGCCAGTCAACCAACTAACCCAACCAACCAATCAACATTCATCAAACTCAATATACTAACAGTAGAATCAATATTTTCATCGAGTTTGATATTATCAAGGTCCAACTCCAGATCAGCATCTTCGTCATCGTCAACTGCTGCTGCTGTAGTTGTTGGGGGCTTGATGCTGTTAGTTGTCGTTGTTTGTTGTGCTGGTGGTGGCTGTGGTGGTTTTTCTTCAACTTTCATAGGCGTCGGTTGTTGTGGTTGAATATTTTGTTGTGGCTGTTCATGTTGTTGTGGCGGTAGAGGATGTTGATGATGATGCATTTCTGATGCCTGCTGTGAATGTTAAATTTTCATGAATAAATGATTATATCAATTAGTCAGCCAACCAACCAACCAATTAATCAACCAAAACCAACCAATTAACCAACCAATCAATCAACCAAAACCAACCAATTAACCAACCAATCAATCAACCAATTAACCAACCAATTAATCAACCAAAACCAACCAATTAACCAACCAACCAATCAACCAAAACCAACCAATTAACCAACCAATTAATCAACCAAAACCAACCAATTAACCAACCAATCAATCAACCAAAACCAACCAATTGACGAGCTTATCAATTAATGATTCAATCAGCAAGACTAAATATGAAATAATCATTCATTCAGAGTCATCAACGATTGAATGAGCAAACGAATAAATGACTGAATGAACAAATGAATGAATGAAAAAATGAATGAACAAACAGATGAATGAATGAATGAACAAATGAAAAGACCTGTTCGTCATCTAATCGCAGGTGAGGGGAGTGGCTTCGTTTTACCTCGACAACATGTTCAACATTCTGATTGGTGGACTCTTTCTTTCTTCCTTCCCCAATGCTGGTGTCATTAGTGACGTCATCTATGATGTCATCATCAGTTTTCACTTCCGACTGACTCGGGGGAATGTAAGTGAAGCGACCCTCCTCTTCTGCTTCTAACATTTCTTTGATGGGAGATCTTTCAGAGTTAGGCTGTTTGTTTGTGAGGTTTGAAATGTTATACAAGTGACCAGATATGCGCCTGAGTCTGCATGATCAGAAATATTTATGGATGCAAGAGTTTGTTGGTCATTGCATCATCTCAAAAATCAAGAGTCTAAACAATCGATCAGTCACACATAAAATTAGTCACATAAGAAATACGTCAGCCAAAAGTTGCCTAATCAGGAAATGAACCCACCACAAGTTGCAGATAATCAGAAGCCTTGACCGGCCTTGACCTTTCGACCTTCAGAAACTGTTCGGCCTTGAAAGCATCCTTCAAACCAGGGAAGAGGTTGTCGTACTCCGACGGATCGGCCAGTGATTGGGCGGCCTTCGGGTTCTTCAGTGCCAGGAAACTTCGCCATTTCGCAACAACTCTACGAGATGGTGTGTTGCACAAATGTAACGAGTATGTAAAAATAGATGAAACATCGATATCTCTAACAAGTATCTACCAAAAGACGAAAAATTTGGTATCTAAATTTGATTCTTCAAACTTAATGTGACCTCCCATTTTCTACATATATCCCCATCAAACTTAAACATACAACTCCAAGAAAAAGTACAACATTACAGCAACAAACCTAGATATGTGACTTGGCAGATATGTCCTGGCAAAAAATGCCGCCTCAGGGAGTCTGTTTGATGAAATCAACAGTTCCAAGCATTCTTCCAGCTTGCCCAGGACAAAATAAGATAGGAATGAAACATTGTTCTGCCCTCTTGACTGAGTTTCATAAGTGTATGAGTTAAAATAATAATGAAATAAGAACAAAAATTTGCGGAAATACATTTAAACAATCAATCATGATCCAAAAACAAATCATTCAACCAATCAGGTAATCTGTTAACAGCATATCTAGACAGACTAGCAAACCGATAAGACAGCACAAGACATTGATATTAAATATGAATCAACAAACAAGTATCAATCAATCAATCAATCAATCAATCAATCAATCAATCAATCAATCAATCAATCAATCAATCAATCAATCAATCAACCAATCAATCAGTCAACCAATCAATCAATCAGACAACTAATAAGCCTCAACCTCAGCAGACTCAGCAAGTTTTTCGACCATGCCAACATTTCCAGAGGAACTCGCCAGCAGGAGAAGACCTCCGAAGTCACGTGCATGGTGCAGACATTCCTGAGCCAAAGCAAACTCACACTTGCTTGTTGCCAGTTCTGCCAGCTGCTTCCATTTCTGTTCCGACTGATGTGGTGGGTGGGGACGATGATGAAGATGATGCTGATAGGATGATAATGATGGTGTGATAAATATGAAGGTGATAACCACATTCACGCACTGCATAACAAACAGATATTGGCGATACTAAAAATAAATTCGTAAACAGCAACCATTCACATATTCACCGATTCATCTATATATGTATCCATCCATTCATGTATCCATTCATTCGTGTATCCATCCATCAATAACCTCAGCCTCCTTGGCTAGTTGGTAGGCAATTTTCAAGTCAGACAATTGTAGAGCTAGATCAAACTTGTGCTCTGGATCACATGTCACTGCCAGTGCCTGCGATTTGAAACCCTGCGAAAAATTCATTAATAAACTAATTTAAAATAACACCAATGAAAAAAATAAAGAAGTAAAATGTGAAATAGAAAACGAACTGTATAGAAGTTACAAATTAAAGGATATTTAAACATAAAGTATGAAATAGAGACGACAGTCAAATGAAAAATAACAAGAGCGACCTGTTTTTCTAGGAAATGTGCAACCCGAGTCCTTTGCTCCCTGGGAACAGTTGGAAGCACTTTGTCAGCAGTTTCGAAATCTCTTCTCATGACTGCAGTCTGGTACTCGAGGACAGACAGGAGAAGGGAGTAGGTGACGACATTCAACTCCTTGTCTCCAAGGTACAACCGATTTTCACCTGGAATGTATCCAAGAAGATACAGAACTCTGGCAAAGTTACAGATGAGAAAAAAAAATGAGTTAACAATTTGTCAGGATGAGAAAGAACCCAGATACCTTGAAAAAATTCCATTCTTGTATTTGAAAAGAATAAATTTTATAACAGGCTTACGCATATAAAGGTCAATTTTTATAAATTAACCCATCCCAATCTTACCTGTCCAGGTGAGCAATGGTGACAATCTCGCCACCGACGTAGTAGTTCAGCCTGTTGACACTGTTGGTGTATATGAAGCAGTCGCCCACCCAACAACCTGTCCTCACTGACTCCTGTATCTCTCCTACAACCTGGGTTCAAAGGTCATTAGGCAATTGTATAAAGATACTACATGGAGAAAAAAATTGATTTAAATTTTGTCATTTTTATATAAAAAAAAATTAATCTCTTGATTTACAGAAATACCACTATTATAACCACCACCACCTCCACCACAATCCATCATGGTAATAACCACGATGACGACCACAAACCAAAAATATATTCATTTGAAATGAAAGCAATTGAAAAATACGTCACCATCATGTCACGCAAACAACAATACATCAATCCCCCAGCCAGCTACAAACATCAGCCCTTCCACCACCACCACCACCACCATCCCCTTTATCACCACTACTACCACCATCCCATCCCACCACTAACATCAAAGGCTTCCTCAATGCCGTCCTCTGTAACCATCTCTGGTTTATCCTTGGATCTTTCAAAGGCCTCCACATTGTATCTGAGTATGTAGAACGAGTCCTCTGTGGCTATGCACAGCTGCTCACCACTTTCGTTCCAAAATAGCTGTCGTGTTGATGTCATTTGTTGGTGACAACATTGCAATATAACAATAATTATACGGAATATAATAATCAGTTAATGTCTTTAACCTTGCTCTAAAACATTCTGTGTGAAAAATATAGATTAAAACTGAACTGAACTACGATGAGACTATTGCTACTACGACAATGAAAACGAATAATGGTAAACAAGAAAGTATTTAAACTACAAAAACCTTTTCATGTACAAATAAATGAATAAGCTAAAAGCAAAATAAAAAGAAAGTAATAATAAAAATGAAGAAAATTGGTTATAAAAATGAAAAAAATTATATAATGGTAAATAAAATTAGGCCAACATATTTTGGAGCAATCTCTATCCTCCTGACCAGGGTGGTGGTCTCCCAGTCGTAGAGGGCCAACCCACTGACTGACCTCACCCCCAGTAAGAAACCACCATGGATGCCTGGTTAGTCAATGTTATATTATACCAGCAGTTTAATCATCATTGTCTTCATCAGCGTTATAATCATTACCTCCATCATATCATCAATTTATAATCGGTGTTGTGATAAGAACCACTCATCAATACTATTGCTTTCAATGTTATCACCATCACCATAATCATCATCCTCATTATAGCTAACCTTCAGCACCATACTCTGGCTTGAAAGACTTTACCTCTTTGAAGTTTTTGTAAATTTGAACGGTGTTACTTGTCTCCCTGATGGCGTACACAGAACTGTCGTTGGCCCACACAAACTCCTGAGCCTGCCCAAAACTTTTGTTACGTAGGGCCATGGCAGTGTAGATTATGTACTCGCCATCTCCACAAACCACCACGAATCTGTCGGTTCATTCAATGATTAATAATTAATGTTGTAACTATCGTCAGAACTGTCCGTAAACTTCATTATTTAGTAGTATTCATGCAACAACCAACCAACCTTCCATTAGGGTTGTGAGCGATGGTCTGCGGGTAGATCTCGCAACTGCCCATGTCCTTGATGTTGAGAGGCAGCCTCTCTCCATCCTTCACCTCCTGATCACTCAGTGACTTTATGTTAGCCTGCTGAATTTCCGAGTGCTTCGCCCAAATTATCTTCCCACTCGAGTCCATGGACATCGCTGGTTCTTCTCTACCAAGCTACCGCATGGTTTTAATTTGTGATGACGATAAATGATTGCTGTATAATTATTTAAAAACTTAAATATGTAATTAATAACAGAATTGAAGATTGGAATATCAAAACAGAAACATGAGAGTGCGACCTACTTTGATTATGATGCTGCCCTCGTCATAACCTAGAGCAACATTATTGGAGCCCTTGAGGCAGCAGATTGTCCATACCCTCTCCAGGCCATAGTTCAATGTGCTTTCAAGACGATACGTGTTGGCATGCCACACTCTGACCGTGCCTAGGTCAAGGATGTTTGTTGCGTTTATCAAATATTTATAAACTGCCCCACCAATCCATCAACCAATCAATCAATGGAATGATCAACCAATCAATCAAATGATCAACCAATCAATCAATGGAATGATCAACCAATCAATCAATCAAATGATCAATTAATCAATCAAACGATCAACCAATCAATGGAATGATCAACCAATCAATCAAACGATCAATCAATCAATGGAATGATCAACCAATCAATCAATGTTCAAACCATCTTCTGATCCGGTAAGGATGATGGGAAGTTCAGGATGGAATGCCACACATGAAATGTTCTGTGCATGCCCTTCCAGGCTTTGAACACATGTTTTGTTCTGAGGGATTATTAAGTCACACAAAACTGATGACGATGATGAAACATTTTATATTTACTGTTGAGCAAATCAATCAACTAATCAACTGATTAACTAACAAACCAATCACCCAAAAAATTAATTATTCTACGAGGCAATTCATCAACCAACCAAACAATCCAAAATCCAGTCTAACCAACCAAGAAAAAAAAAAAGCTAACTTGATAGTCCCAAATCTTAACCAGTCTATCATCGGCTCCAGAGATGAGATAGGGTTTGTCACCACCATGGTAGTAATCAATGCAATTTATGCCCTTCTCATGTCCTTCCAAAGTAAAATTTGGAGTGCTCGATCCTAGATTCCACACCTGAATGTTGAATGAGAGATGGCTGGGTAAATTATTTGGAAGCGAAACAAGCAAAGGAAACAACAATTAAAAAAGAAATTAATGAAGAAATGAATGATCCTAAGCAAGAAACTGTTAGTTCATTTTCCAACAATATGCCACCATAACCGAAACTAGCCACCATAATCAAAAACTGGTCATCATAATCAAACTGGCTCACATCTCAACCATTCCCACCACCCAAACCTTAATAGTCCTATCCAGGGAGCAACTAGCAAAGGTATTGTTGTCTTTCGGGTTGAAGACGACCTGCATGACGTAGTGCGTGTGGCCCTCGAATACTTGGGTACATGTCCACTTTTTCTCCCAATCCCACAACTTAATGAAGAGGTCATCTGGGTGCGTGTGTGATCAGAACACCAGCAGTTGGATGGGTGGTTATGCAATGGATGTTTAAGAATTGTATAAGCTAAATGTACATACACATATATACAGTCATTTATTTACATCTAATTCATTTTCTGATGTGATTGATGCTATATTCCCAAATTCATTTACTAAATTGCATATTAAATGGTTTGATGCTGTTTTGACTCATCTAGTTATTTATATATTTATTAAAAGATAATTTTATTTTCACATCTGGGAAAATTCTTTTAAAATAAAATCCCAAAAATCCAGCACGAACCACTGCTAGTGAGGATGAAGCTTTGTGTTGGATGGACAGCGATGGACCGGACGTAATCGGAGTGGGCTTCGAACTGGTGCAAACGTTCCAGCGTGTTATAGTTGAATACTCTAACATGCATGTCATCCTTTATGTTGGAGTGTTTTTTTTGAAACAGCACTTTAAAAGAAAGGATTTCACACATTAATAAAATACCATTTTAACAAAATTTGAGATTTAAATTTATTTATATGAAATTTGTTGTGTTCGATGAATAATTAAAAATCAACAAATGCTACCACTAACAGATGCAGTGATGACCCAGCTCTTACGAGCAACAAACTTTGCAGCTCTCACAGGTAGGTCACAGACTTCAAAGGACTTGATCATTGTCTGTTTTTAAAATCAATAAATATTTATATGGCTTCAATTCAAATAAAAAGACACATCTGAGTTTTAAAAAAATTCGCAAACAGAAAAATATATATTATACACTATAATATCTATAATTCTAGATATAGATAAGGTATAGCCTATCTTGTTTATAAAAATCTGGTACCGCATTTAAAACAGGAAACATTAAATTAAATTAAAGATTAATACATCAATTATACTAAAATATATTAATATTATCTGAATTATCAACTTAAACTACTCTTATTACTTTGAGAAGTATCAATCAGTAGAACTGTAAGATTAGAGTTTCAGAAAAATTATTGTGATATCAAATATTAACAGATCATTTCCTTATAACAGTACAATCTATCTATAACAACTTCCAAATAAAAAGATTACCATAACGGTAATTCTTGAAGACATTTTAATTTAGCTAACTCATGTTTCAAACAAAATCGTCAAAAAATTTTCATAACTATTTATCAATAACATTAACCATTGATCACTAACTAGTAAAACAAATGTTACCAAACCTGGGACTCATGGTTCCAAATGTGAACATTCCCATTGTACAAGCTGACCAACATCCATGGCTCAGTTGGGTGCAGGTCTGTGCACTTCACCCTGTCTGAACGGGCCGACAACTTCCGTTTGATGTCTAATCTTAGCGGCTAAATTAAATTTAAAAAAAAACTATCTAGCGACATTATGTAAAAATATTTTTAAAAAATTATGATGGTGTGAAGCTGTTTTTGGCAAAAGCTGATTTATGACGTTGAGTGATAATTAATGAAAATAAATTTCGTTACCATTTTTAGAGAATATGCAGACGTAGAAATGAATTAAATTTGTTTTTTTTAACAAAATTTAAATTTAATTTCATGAACTTAACGTGTCAAAAACAACATAAGAAGATTATTTTCCTGTTGTTTCTACGTGGCCTCCGCTACGCGCATGACAGCATTATTTAGTATCACTAATGGCCACAGTCATTTTTTTTCATAATTTTTAGTGATTCCTGTAGAATTAGCATCTAAATTGATTTGAAAAAAATTTTCTTTTAATAAATGTGTCAATATGCTTATTTTTTTTTAAATTTTGTAATTCTTTCAATAAGGTTTTGCAAAAATAAACTTACTTCTTATACATATGATGAATATTTCCTGAAAAATTGATATACTTGTGCCATGTAAATGAATTGAAAATGTGAATTAGTAAAAACACGTAATTTTTTATGAAAAAATATGAATATTAAATAGGTCGGATCAAAAGGAAAAACAGCTGTTTAAGTACCTTAACAAGCAAGTTTAGTCTCATCTACGTAATACAGGTAAATGTGAATAAATTAGGTGGACACCTTTATCACTATTATATTACAGCTATCATTGGTAAACATTGCATGTAAGTTAACTTATATGTATGTTTGTTTGTGTGTGTATGTGTATGTATATGTATGTACGTTTGTATGTTTATATTGTTTGTATCGGCTGTATATCATGTATGTAAGTGTGTGTGTGTGTGTACATACGTGTATGCATCCCAAATTTATGTATGTATGTAAATTTACATGTATGATATGTTGTATATCGATGTATATGGTATGTATAAGGAATTTGTATGTGTTTTTGGTTGTGTATGTGTGTACATGTGTGTTTCTGTGTGTGTGTTTGTATGTGTGTGTTTCCGTGCGTAGAATTCAAATTTGTTTTGTTCGGAGCTATGAAAGTACATGTTAATAACAATCTTTTGTATTGCTGACAATAAATTACATCAACAACAATTCAAATGTATATATAACATGTATGAATAAATAACGAAATAGCAATAAAAGCAGCAACTGTAATGACAATAAGAATAATAACAATAAAAAAATAATAGTAAAGATAACAATTAATGAGTGGAATATTTGAAAATTTGAAAATTCATTCATACGTTCGTGATATAAATTTTTATTGGTTCGTTTGGTATATAGGGGTATTTGGTATTGTTCTATAACTACTGGTGTTATATAAACAGTATATATTGGTATCTATATTATATATCTGGTATCATCCGCATGATAGTCGTGTATCTATTTATAAATCAAGTACTCCGAGATATCTCATGATTCTTCTAGTTAACTGTTAAATGAATATTAATCGAGGGACGTTTTCACTGAAGATTGAAATAGATAGGATAAAGTTTAAATAAATAATTAAATAAAAATATACGAATTAATCCGATGAGTCATTATTATTTTGAAAATATTTTTAATTAATTGATTAATTAGGTAATTGAAGGATTAATCGCCCATCATAATCAATAAAAAAAAATTTTTATACTTATAAATTATAGGCAATTCTAAAAACGGTGAGTTAGTAATTTCTGTCGCAATTTGAATTCGATTATTAAAATGAATTTAAATAAAATTGAATTTAAATAAAATTGAATTTAAATAAAATTGAATTTAAATTAAATTTAAATTAAATTTAAATCCAATTCAATTCAATTTTAAATCCAATTCAATTTAAATTCAATTTCAATTCAATTTAATTAAATTCAATTCAATTTAAATCACGTGCGTTGGTAAATATAGGATGATAAAATTAAAATGAAATCGATAATTTGTTTATGTGCTAAATAAAGTAAGTAACAGTTGTGTGGTCGAATCACACGTTATTTACAGACAAACACACACATACCACACACACACACATACACACAACACACTCGCGAACAAAGCGTACATACACACGTATACACACACACAAACAGACATATACACACAAAAATAATTATAAACAAACACACGTATACAAACATTAAAATGTGTGTGTGTGTGTGAGTATGTTTGTGTGTGTGTGCGTGTGTTTATTCATTTGTGAACAGAGAGATATCAATTTAAAACACATAAAATATTAATGTGCGTGTGCATGTGATGTTTGTCTGTCTTTCACAGGTTTATAATAATTTCAATAACATCCAGTTTGTGTGTTTGTGTGTGTGTGTGTGTGTGCGTGTGTGTGTGTGTGTTCGAGTGTGTGTCGTTAACACGTACTTATATATACTTCGCCTGGGTTGAAGTTTGATGACTTTAAAAAGAATTTGAAAAAACATTTATTTTCGTTATAAATAATATATATTTATTAGAAATGATTAAACCATTCATTAATTTTATTATTTTACTGAGATTTTTGTTTCATTTAAATTTAAGCGCTTTATAAATTTACGATAATAACGTTTATAGTCTCCATCCATCTGTATCTAATATGATAATGATAATAAAAATACACTACAGGTAACATACACTGTTATACACCTGTGTGCTGTTGTGCGTGTGTGTGTGTGTGTATGCGTGTGCGTGCGTGTGTACGTGTGAATTGAATTCGGATCTTCATTAGTATTTTAATTTCATTTGAAGAGCGTTTTGAAGACTTCAAGAAGAGAAGAAAGAGAGAAGATTAACTTTTAATAGTCTTAATTTTTTATTTATTTAAAAAAAAATGTAAACTTTTTCTATTGGAAATTTAGGAGAAGAATAACAACTAAAAAATAGAATTTTTTAAAAACACATACGAATAATTTTTTTAAAATAAATTTGTAATAAAATAAACCTAACGATGGCTATTATATGGAAGATTTCATTCTACTCGCTACTGCTGCTGCTGCTGCTGCTACTGATGCCTAGCTTCTACTACCACCACCCCACCATCAGTTAGTTACTACTTTGATTCATTTTTTCATTAATTTTAACTAAATTTATTCTTATGATAATACCACCACTGCTACTACTACTACTACTACTACTACTACTACTACTACTACTACTACTACTACTACTACTACTACCACTACTACTACTACTACCACTACCACCACTACTACTACTACTACTACTACTACTACTACTACTACTACTACTAATAATAATAATAATAATAATAACAATAATAATAATAATAAAAGTAATAATGATGATGATGATGATAATATGAGAATAATAATAATGACAATAAAAATCATTTATATAGCGCGTAGATGGCGTTTTATGTCAACTTTCCGCAAGCACGCACTAGAAGACGCTTTGCAAACGCGCGCGACATGTGGCGGATCACTATACAATCAAACCCAATCACAAGCGCTCTACCACTGAGCCATCCTGTCGTCAAGTGGTAACAACACCAACGAAAATAACAAAAAAATTAAGGATAATGATGAAAAATTACATAATGGTTGTGACATGATGACCGATGATGATGATGATAATGATGATGGTGGTGGTGGTGATGATGATGATGATGATGAAAATATTAATAATAATAAAAATATAAACACAATGTATAATAATAATATATAATAATAAATAATAAATAATAATATAACATACTTAGCATAACAATAATTCAATGACTCATACTGCTAAACAGCTGACATCAATGAATAACATGACATGACGGTAAGATACGATTAATGTTGTAGAGTATGACGTCATCGTTACGTGATTACATTACTTATGAAGTTGACATTAACATTAATGACATTAACGATGACGACAAGAGCACGATAGCAATAATGATAATTAGATGAACGTCAGCAATGTCGTGATTATATACATTAACGTTAAAGTTGACTTGAATTATAATGACATTAACAATAATATTAACAATAAAAATATCAAAACATTAATATAGAAACGAGAAATTAATAATAACATTAACAATAAAAATATCAAAACATTAATATAGAAAACATTTAGCAACAACGTACAACCTAACAGTAACTATAACAATGACATCAATAACATTAGCAATAAGACCGCTTTATCAATAATTCTTATCATTAGACACGTATCACTTATCACAAGATTTCGACCAAGATATGAATCTTCTGACATCAGCTATAACATTAATGAAAGGAACGAATGACATTAACGTTGCATTAATAACATTAAAAAAAAGTTTAAACATTAACCCTAATAACTTCGCAATCGTAATAATAATGCGGATGCGATGAATTATCATCAAATTAATTAGACCAATGCATCGTACACACACAAAAACTCATTCACTACACACACACACAGACATACACACACACAGACATACACACACACACACACACAGACATACACAGACATACACACACGCATACGCTTATATATAATGCATATTTATATTTACAGAAAAACACGTATAACATTACGCACATATAAAATATTACCACACACACATACACACGCACACACACGCACACACACATGATCGCATGAACTATCTGCCAATCAATAAATAATTTAAGCTCCATTTACGAACATATCCTTCTTTCTAGCCTATGGTTCCACGTTCTCAAATTCCCTGAATATTCAGACGACGTTCATTGCAGTGTCACTTATTCATCTATTAATTATATCCGTTTGTTTGTTGTTCATTCGTTCGTTTGTTCGTTCGTTCGTTCGTTCGTTTGTTTGTTTGTTTGTTTGTTAGCCCATCTGTTTGTTAACACGTTCATTAATTAACATCAGTTCGTTTTATAGTCATTTATTATTTGTTTGTTCAGCTCTTTGATCGTTCATCTATTCGTTCGCTCATAAGTTCATATTTTTTATCACTTGATTGTTCTTTCTTTGTTCGTTGGTTTCTATCGGTTCGTTGAGCTGTTGTTCGTCGTTGTTTTATTTGTGAATCGTCGATAAAGTTATTTATTATTATTGCTTGATTTAATTTCCTTGTTGATTTCATTTTATTTCTCTCAATTATTTGAACGATTTCGTTGTTATTCATGAAAAGAACTCAAAGGTCTTTGCTTTATTCATTCATTCACATAGTCATTCATTCATTCATTCATTCATTCATTCATTCATTCATTCATTCATTCATTCATTCATTCATTCATTCATTCATTCATTCATTCATTCATTCATTCATTCATTCATTCACTCACTCACTCATTCATTCATTCACTCACTCATTCATTCACTCATTCATTCACTCACACTCATTCACTCACTCATTCATTCATTATTAATATATTGAGATCGTGAGCTCTTGCGACCTCTCTGTTTATAAGTGTCAGTAATAATAATAATAATAATAATAATAATAATAATAATATTAATAATAATAATAATAACAATAATAATAATAGCAGCAATAAAAAAAACATCAACAATATTTACAGTAATAAACTCAAACATAAGATAACAAAGATGTCTAAATACCTCAAAGATAAGCATATATGTAGATATATAAGCATGAATGTATAATATATATATATATACATACATATATATATATTACACATATACATATACATATAATGTAGAATTATAGGTGTATTTGATACAGGTAAGTGTATACACGCAGACACAAACATACATACACACATGCATTCGCACACACACAAATGTATATACACACATATATTCATATATATATATATATATATATATATATAAATATATTTTAATTTAATTTATATATATATATATTTATATATATATATATATATGAATAATCATTATATATATATGCATAGTATAAATATCGTTGTTAAGCTAGACACGCATAGCCATTTTAAGTTTTTTATTAGTGATCTTAGAAAGTGTTCAATTTATTGATAACTATAATATTTAAAATAATATTAATATTAATAATAATTTGTTAAAAATAATTTAAGATATTTAGTTTAATTAAATATCATTTTTGATGTAGAAGGAAAATCTATAAAAATATTATTTAACGTTTAATTTGTTAATTCGTGTATTGATTGGTTGCTGTAACTGGTTCAATAATTAAACTTAATTAATTGATTATATTAGTCTTAATTAGGTTTCTATATATAATTAATTTGCCTCAAATAAATTTGATTGCTGACTACTAAATAATTATAAATAAAGGTATGTACATATGTATGCTATGTTTTTATATGGTAAAATTTAATTAACTTAACTATCATCGTCGATATTATTTCTCCCCCACTCTCTCTCTCTCTCTCTCTCTCTCTCTCTTCTCTCTTTCTTTCTCCTTTTCTTTCTCTCTCTTTCTCTCTCTAATATATTTATTATCACCATGATGAAATACATCGTTACTTATACGGTGCATATTGGAATTTTGTCGATTTTTTAATATCAATCACTATCATTAGAAACAAACAAACAAACACACAAAGAATCAAGCAAACATACAAACAAATATATATACAAACAAATATATATACAAACAAATATACATACAAACAAATTTACATGCAAAACAAATATACATACAAACAAATATGCATACAAACAAATATACATACAAACAAATATACTTACAAAAAACCTAGCCTAATGAAAGATGAAAACCTAAAATAACACCGAAATAATTTCACTTTAAACAGCACTAGCCTGCCTTTCAAAACCGGATAGTACTCCAACAACTACAATGTCTCCGTTTCTTCCAGCGACCACCACTTCCAGAGGCGAGACTCTTTGCACGGAGCAAGAAAAGAATATACAAAGTAGGTCACGTCTGTGTGTGCATGAGCGCGCGCGTGTGTGTGTACGTGCGTGTGTGTGTGTACGTGTGTGTGTATGTGTGTGTGTACGTGTGTGTAGTTGCTTACTTTCGCGTGTATGTAGTTGCTTTCTTTCAATCTTAGTATTTTTTTTTCAGTTATTTGATTATGTTTCTTTCTGAAAAATTCTGGTGGCAACTGAAATGAGATGAGAATGTGCGTGTATGCGTGTGTGTGTGTGTGTATGCGTGTGGTGTGTGCGTGTTGTGTGTGCGTATGGTCGAATATCCTTTTACATGGTGTGTGCATGTGGTGTGTGCGTGTGCGTTTTACTACCATATTGTTTCTATTTCTGTGTTATTTGTTTAATCGATTTTTAAACTTTTTTTCGACGATAGGGGATTGCTTACGTTAAATTACTGTTTTAATTTTTTAGTATTTTATTATTATTATTATTGTTTGTATTTATTATTATTATTATTATTATTGTTATTATTATTATTATTATTATTATTATTATTTGATCTTTATCGACTAAACGTTTGCCTCTGTGTGTTTTTTTTGTTACATTATGTTATTTAAATCAACTTCGTATAAATTATAACGTTATTAGCTTCCATTATTATTATTTTTCTTACTCTTGTTGGTAGTAGTAGTAGTAGTAGTAGTAGTGGTAGTAGTAGTAGTAGTAGTAGTAGTAGTAGTAGTAGTAGTGGTAGTAGTAATAGTAGTAGTAATAGTATTGGTAGTAATAGTTGTAGTATTAGTAGTTGTAGTAGTAGTAGTAGTAATAGTAGTAGTAATAGTATTGGTAGTAGTTGTAGTAGTAGTAGTAGTAGTTGTTGTTGTAGTAGTAGTAGTAGTTGTAGTAGTAGTAGTGGTAGTAGTAGTGGTAGTAGTAAAAGTAGTAGTAATAGTATTGGTAGTAGTAGTTGTGTAGTAACAGTTGTAGTAGTAGTAGTAGTGTAGTATTATTATTATTATTATTATTAGTAGTAGTAGTAGTAGTAGTAGTACTTAATTCAATCGTCCACTATTGATGATCTACATTCGTCGCGTAGTCATTATATTTTCAATAGCCATGTTATTATTAATTAACATAATTTTATAAGCTGTTTTAAATGTAATGCATGTAAATGAATTCATTCGTTTATTCATTCATTCGTTTATTAATTCTTTTGTTTGTTCGTTCGTTCGTTCGTTTGTTCGTTCATTCATTCACAATTTTACTCACCAATCTATAAATAAATTGAGTTTTATAATAGTCTAGCCATACAATAGCTAAGTCTAAGTCAGTCAAACCGTAATTAGTTGAACAAAACAACTGTTTCTAACATTTTTCATTCATTCATTCATTCATTCATTCATTCATTCATTCATTCATTCATTCATTCATTCATTCATTCATTCATTCATTCATTCATTCGTTCACTAATTCATTCACTCATTCATTCATACTGCCGATATTTATTATTATTATTTTTATAAGTAGCTGTAGAAGTAGTAGTGGCAGTATTTTTTAAAATTATTTTCACTACTTGTGACGAGCCTAACAAAGGCTAATTTTTAATTAATTAGAATTAAATCAATTAAAATTAAATTAATAAGGCAGTTCCTTCCTCCAACCACTAATTATTTGGTTAATTTGCTGAAAGATAATACTAATACTAATATTTAGAGTCAGCTGATTGGATTAAATGTGAGAAGCTGTTTACAAATCCATTGAATTTAATTTAATAAACTTTTGACTCTCAATATAAATAGAGTAGCAAAAATTATGATCTATAATAATAATAATTATTTGATTGGCGGATTATTATTTTTATTAATATTTAAATTATTATTTGTAAATATTACCACCCAAAAATCGGTTATTTAAATAATTATAACGCGGGTGTGGATGGTTTATACTTCAATTAAACAACACTTAATTGCACCGATTAGGATACCCATGTTTAACACATTCTTCGGCATAGCAAATCAAAACTTCATGGCACATACGCATGTATGCTTGAATGTATGCTTGTATAAGAAAATAATTAATAATAATAGTAAAATAATAATTATTATTATTTATGACAAAAATTATTATTATTACTCTCAAATAATGGTAATAAAAATTAATATGATTACATTTTCTAACGAATATGTTTAAAAAATTTTTTTTCATTGTCCGTTAGTCATGGTCAATTGTGTGTGTCTGTGTGTGTGTGTGTGTGTGCGTGTGTGCATAATTATATTACATAAAAAATTATGATAATTTAATTGTCATAATTATTATTAATAATATTATTACATTTTTTAAATTCAAGAGTGTTTGAACGGAGCAACGTGCAAGGTGTCTCTAACCAGCAATGGAGGTAGAACTCTATATTGCCAGTTAGTTAGTGTGTGTATGCATGCATATGTATGTGTATGTGTATGTTCGTTTGTTTGTTTCTGCGTACGTACGTACGTATGTGTGTGTATGTCGCGCTATTCACGTTAGCACACACGTACACACACACACACACACACACACAGACATACACACGAACCCACAAACACAAATACACGCACTAACATACACACACACAAACATGAACACACTCATACAAATTATTTAGATGCCTGTCTGGATACGAAGGGGTACGATGCGAATTACAGAGTTCACCTTTATTTCGTTAGTAACAGCCATTGTCTATTTGTTCCTTGTTTTTCGCCTTCGTGGTTGTTGTATTTCTCCTTCCATTTTCTATTTCTCGTCGTTGCCATTGTGTGTTTTTATGTTGTTGTTATCATCGTTGTTATTATTCTCTTGTTGTTTTACTAGTTTAAGTTGACTCATGACAACAGTTTTCAAGTCATTTCAAAATAACTTCATTGCTATAAAACTTAAATAAATTAGTTTATCAGCAAATTGTGCTAACTCCAGTTATGGTATTAATAACTTCTAGACGAGTATTTTACCGTTACTACTATCTTTAAAGCCAATCAGCATCAAAGGATATATTTAATAATGCTGACAATAACAATAATAACTATTATTAGAAATAATATCTATCATAATTATATCCATAATTTGAACTTGAGAGAATGAAAGAAGTTTCATTTAATCAGGTAACACTAAAAAAATGGCGAACCGAACAGTACAAGTATGCTTGGAATTTTCCAAATATTTCAACTTTATTCATGCTACTACTTCATGCTACTTCATACTACTTCATACTACTTCATACTACTTCATACTACTATATTCTACTTTAACAAATTTCGCAAGAAAATTTATTACTACTATAACGGCTAACTACTACTCTACCTACTGCTTCTACTACTACTACTTTTACTGACAATACTACTACTGCAGTTGCTACTACTACTACTACTACTACTACTACTACTACTACTACTACTACTAATACTGTTTGCAACGTTAAGGCAGCTGTAAAATAATAATAAAAATAGCATTAAAATAATAACAAAAGCATTAATAATAGTGAAAATAATAATAATAACAATAGTAATAATAACAACAAACCAAGCGTCATACACATTGCGTATGTTAGGCGGGGATCTCTTTGTATTCGAACCCAGTCATAGCAATAGCAAGACCAGGTGTCTTTAACCGTTGAGCCATCACGTCGCCCATATAGTATCGTTATCGATCGTTTCGGTATAGTATCGTTATATGTGGATAGGAATCACTTTTTTTCGTTTTTAAATCAACCTATTGACTAATCAACTGTTACGATACAATACGATATATTTGATTTGCTTCAAAAATAAGAAAATAAGACAGGATGACCATGATCAAGTTATCAGGTAACTTATCTAGCATGGCCACCTTACAAACAGTTTTAAAAAAATAAAATTTGAACTAAAAATTTCGTAAAAGTGAAATAATAATGTTCAGGAACTAAAATTGTTTTACGAATAATCCACTATATCCTTAAAAGTTAAAAATCAACTAACTACTCAAACCATCCACCAATCGACCGACCAACCAACCAACGAACCAACCAACCGACCAACCAAACAATCACACACAGGTTCGTCAATGGCAGGAGCACTAGACGCCCCAGTTATTGTTGGGATCGTTGCTGGTGTCATCGTCCTCTTAATCCTTACATCCACAATCATCTTCCTCATCGTAAAGTATGCTCAATTATTATTATTATTATATACTTATAAAATGATTCCTCTATTATGTGTGTAATAGTAATAACAATTAGCAATACAGTCTCATTATAATATCAGTTTATATGTTGTGTAACTGCGTTGGTATGTATTATTTTTTCAACAGTTAAGTGATCACGAGACATCATTTAGTTAAGGGTGGCCTGCACAAGTGGACTTACTTAATTTTATCTCCTGACTTTTTTTGTGGAATAAAATTTAAAAAAAAGTTTTGGTAAGACAACATTCGAGACAAGCAGGTCGTCTCGAAATAGCGAAGCGAGACGTGACACTTCTACTGTCTGAGCTAACCCTTCGAGCTATGATGTCACAGACGTTATCATTTATTACAAAAAGTAAAGTAATGTCATTTGAAAATTAAAACAGCAAAACGTTTGACGTAAATTTATACAGGAAAATGAGGAAGGATAGCAGGCCGCAACTGGACTACGCCCTTGAACCATCACATCAAGAGTTTCCGCCTCTCAAGAAACCCGCACCGTCATCCAATGTTAGCAACCTTCATAAAATTATATTCTACTATAGGATTTGAAGCACTATATAAATTATTTTTGATGAAAAGTTTTTGAAATATGTTTCTTTAATATGTATATATATAAGAAGTGTTGGGTATAATTATTTCTGCCGAAGATATAATTTCTAGAAGTTACGAAGAAATTTTTAAATTACTTTGCTAGAAACATCTTGTAACGTTAACTTGCTTATGTATTATTTTTTAATTGAAAATGTTGTAAACGATTTTGGGTAATCCTCTTTTAAGGGCTTGGCATACCTTCAATTACCTTACATTTGGCATACCTACTTGTAAAATAACTTAAACGAGGCATAGGAGGTATGAAATATGGAATTTTATCCAAAATAAATGCTAACAAGACATCAGCCTAAATTTGTTTCATTAATAAGGCGCTTGAAAACATGCTTGAGTCTTGAAAGAAAATTATTTTTCATTTTATTTCCAAACTCAGCTGAGGGATGATCCCATGCTATTATTAGCCGTCACAGTGTTTGTATGAGACAAGTTATATGGATGCTTCCAGAGTTTTTATCATTATTTATTATTATTATTTATTTATTATTATTATTTATTATTATTATTGTTATCGCTATTATTGTCATCGTCTTGTTAATGTTATTACTAATATCAAACAATTATCACATTTCCCACTTTTGCTTATTCAGTCAAAGTATTGCAATTTGATGTGTTCATGAGAATTTTTTATTTAATTAATTTATTTCCTAACGGGTTGTAGACATTAGCTTTTATTTATGTTGTTCATGACATTAATGAATTTTTCTTTTTCAAGTTTGTGAATGAAGTTTAATTTAATTTAACGTTATGGTATTAAAGTTAAACTAACAGAAATAGCATTAAATATTATTACAATTACAGTATTTAATTTTTTATCAATTTTAAAATTGACAAATTTTGAAAAAATTGCAAGTGTCTTTATGCTTTCTTATAAATATCGAATTTTTAGCTTATAAAAAAGAATTATTGAGTAAGTCTGCGCTAGAAAAATAGATATCAAATAAATGGACGGATGAATAATCCAACATTTGAAATCAACAAAAGTGTTTGCGTAGATAAATATAAGTGTTTTTATGACGTAATTGTTTACATAGATAAAGTTGAATTTGTTTACATAGACACACGAATTTTGTACATATTTAAATTTGAAAGTGTTTGCATAATTGTCTATTCTTTGCTTAGTGAAGTGTTTTATTTTTAGAACTAACTGGCGCGAGTTTATTAATATTAACATATTATATATATATATATAGTGAGCATTTGTGTGGTGCGTCTGACATTTGAAAAACATAAAATAATGCTTCTAATAATAGAATTTATTTAAATTTCAAACCACGGAACTTGCAGTATGCAATATCAAGAGGCATGACAAACTATGGCTCCCCGTACGAGAGAAGCATCGTCAACCAAGGTTTCATTCCAGACGATTACATACCTACAACAAAAACTACAACTGCACAACCTACAAAATCAAACATTTATGACAATAACAACAGCAACAACCATAATAATAATAATAAAAATAATAATAATAATAATAATGATAATAAAAAATCCAAACCAACAAAATCAACAACCACTTCTGCTAGCCACAAAACTAGCGCCTCGCCAACTCAACTTTTCACAATATCAGATGGTTCTGGAACGAGGAGGAGCGGTGTGATCATTACCGACGACGCAACAGACCGGGCTTCAAATGCATCCTCACGACCGACCTCAGGTGCCGGCTCTTTGCACTACACTTCCGGCTTGACGTCGCTACATGTCGCTCCGGTTGCTTATAAGGAGACGACACTTTAAATCGAAGCTGTTGATAATTAGCATTTCGTTGATTTACCGGCGTGTCGGGGTAGGCTGAAGATGGTATTGATATCTGGTATTGCGTATTTGCATCGCCTGTTGGTGTATTTTAATGGTATTTAAACTGGAAAAGCATTCGGCGAGTACGGAGAGAAAATATTTTCTGTTGCGTATGGAAAACATTTAGTTTAATCCTGCTTGTGACTTGAACATATGGGAAAAATATAACGGTAATAATATTTGTGGTAGTAAAAGAAGTAATAGCAGTAGAGAAGTAGTACTAGCGATAGAAGCACAGGCTGTAAAAGTAATAGGTCGGGTAGTTTTACTACTAACAGGTAATTTAATGGTAGTAATCATATTCATAGCTGATGCCTATGTTTGGGCGTGGGTATACTAGTATTGTAGTATTAGAAATAGAGAAGTAGCTGCAGTAACGGCATAGTATAGTAGTAGTAATAGTATTTGTGATAGTGTTAGTAATAGCTGTAGTAATTGTATTAGAAGATGAATTAACGATAGAAAGTGAAATTAAAGTTGAAGTGAAAATTTTGGCAAAAATTGGTGAATAATAGTAATATTCATGTTTTCCATTTTTTCAAACTCAGTCTACCACTGATACAGAAAATACTTCTACTTACTATCACGACCAACACTATTACTACTACTACTATGACCACTACTACTGCTACTAGTACTACTACTACTACTACTACTACTACTACTACTACTACTACTACTACTACTACTACTACTACTACTACTACTACTATTACTACTACTGCTGCTGCTGCTATTACTACTACTGCTGCTGCTGCTACTACTACTACTACTGTTTTTTAATTACCAATTTTGTAATTAGTTTTTAATACCATTATAATAATTTTTATCCAAAGGATTACCTAATTTTATTTATTTAATATTTTTAATATTTCGAGAAAAATTTTATACGGTTTTATCATCGTAAATATTTTAAATTAAATGTTTAAAAAGTTGAAATATTCATGTTGGTATGTATGTGAAATTGTTGACGATCGTTGATTTTTTTTCATTATGATGATGATGAAGATTATAATGATGGTGGACATGTTGATGATGGTGAACATGATGATGATGATGATGATGATGATGATGATGATGATGATGATGATTGTGATCGGTCAATCAGTTATTGAATGAATAAATGAACGAATAAAGGAATGAATGAAGAAAGGAATAAATGAATGAAGGAAGGAATGATTTACAAAAGAATGAATGAGTAAATGGGCTGTTAAAATAGTGAAATTATAGGTGATAAATAACTAATGAAGAAATGAATGAATGAACGAATAACTGAATGAATGAATAATGGAAGAATGTATGAACGGATAGAAGAGTGAACAAATGAATGAATTGAATGATAGAATGAACGAACAAACGAACGAACGAACGAATGAACTAAATGGTTTCATAATGATTGTTGTTACATTTTTATTCGACCATGATATTTTTTATATTTATGTTCTTAACAGTTTTAGAATTATAGAAAAAATACTACACACACACACATCACACATCACACACACACACACACGCATATATATATATATATATATATATATATATATATATATATATATATATATATATGTATATGTATATATATATAAGATTGAGATTGTCAGAAATGCAATTATTGATGAAAATCACAGCATGTTCCGCTGATCGTAAATCATTTTCAAGTTTCTTGAGTTTGAAGGCAAACTTTTTATTTATTGATATTTCAAGCATGATAGAACATTTAGGCACATTTACCAATAATACATTTGAACGAGTATATTAGATGGCTATGATCCATTATCGAATATGGCTTACTAGTGCGGTTGTCCCAGTCTTTTGGTTTGCGTAGTATGTTCCTAGTTAAATACTAACGCTGTCTATTATTATTCTTTAAAAAATTAGAATCTGACGGACGCAGAAACTGTTACAGCATGCAAGGTAATAGTATGAAATGGTTATGAAAAAAGAAAATGTTTAAGCATGAAAGGTGTAGAAAATAAAATAGAGTAATGGTTTAAAAAGGTAAATAAATAAAGTAATTTATTAATGGACTAGTTAACGTTTTAGTGAGTTAGTGAGGTGACCAATAAGAAAAAAGAAAACTGAATCTAGTAAATGATAGAGTTTTATTGAGAGCTTATATGTTTAAGGTGTCTTGTGAGGAAGGTCTTTTCCTGATATGTTGACTGAGTGACGACTTGATAGTTACGCTTGCGTTGACGAAGGTTGTGTGTAGTAGTTTTGATTGGCGGTAGTAGAGGATGGGTGACGTACGTGGTTGTTGTTGTTTTCAACTTTCTTCGACAGTCTTAAATCGAGTGTGTTGAATGATTGAGTGACGGGAGGATATGATGCAGGTAGTTGAGGCGAATTAGATTTTTGATGAGAGACTGTAGTTGTTGAAGTTGTTTTCGTTTGTTGCTTGAACGTTATTTTTATGATTATCTTTTCATGATTTTTTCATCATGTTCAACAGCAATATTGGTAAGTGTGGGAGCCACAATTCTGAATATATTAGTATGACGACGACCAAGCTGTCGAGAAGACTCACGATGCACGTACAAACTGGCATTATGATGAATCACACGAAGACCGTAATAACTAATTAAATGACTGTTAAATATTCACGGTGAACAAACAAAGAATTAACGTTGTAGAAACACAGTATATATGTTATACTTGAGCATTTGGCCACATACACAACGTATCAATTCGAACGCCGAAGATGGCATCGGAATACGGAAAAAACTTTTCTTGTCCCATCATGCTTAAAATAAAAAAAAATTTGGCTATGAACTCAAGAAACTTGAAAAAGGATTGAACAGGGAGCTAAAAAACGCGGAACGTGCTGTGATTTTTATCAATACATATATAAATATATATATATACACACACAAAAATACACACATATATACATAAACACACAAACAACAAACACACAACACACACAATAGCCTACACTGTACTGTACATAGAGTTACTTACTTTTCCATATCGATATAAGCTTAGACTTGAACAATTAATTTTATTTATTCGTCCATTATTTTATTTTATTATTTATATAAATAAAAATAAACTTCGTTGACTAATTAAATTAGTTTTTAATGTATATATAAATCTATACTACGTATGCCATTTATTAATATTAATGTGTATATATGTATTTATATATTATATCATATATTCACACCACACACACCCATATATATATATATATATATATATATATATATAGGTATGTGTGTGTACATGTCAGTGTGTGTGTACGTCCACTGATATGTAAACGTGTCTAATAAACAGCCATGCCTAAGCAAGTGCCCTGCTTGTATGCAAATGCTCGTACACACAACACACATATATATGCGTAAATATATTAACTTTTAAACCGACGCCTTAACTTAATACATACATACAATAACCATTTTAACTTTTAAATTAATGATAAAATTACGCAAACAAACACAAACAGATACATGTACAATACACAGAAATGTGAACACACACACACACCACACACACGTAAGCATGCACACATACGCACACGCAGACATACACGTTTCCGCAAAAATAAACTCGCATCACACTCATCACAGCCAAACAATTGCCAGCGTTATTTTCAATTCGGTTTCACCGCTCTTCAGTAAGCATATGAATTTAAGTCTGCCTGTGTGTGTATCTGTGTGTGTGTGTCTGTGTGTGCGTGTGTTATCTGCAGCATGTGAACATCTGTGATGATGACGACGATGAGGATGATTTAGCATAATTAGTTGTTTTAATTTAATTAGTTTATTTTTAATTAATTAGAGATAGCTCATTTAATGAAATAGTTTTGCGCCTAAGAAATGTTCATTTATCATTATTGATTCGTGTACTGTTTATATTACATTACATCATTATATTACAATAATATAAATAATAACAATAATAATATTATTGATTAATAGAAAGAAATATTGTTGTTATCATTTAACATTAATATTACATGCATATTATTACGCTAATTATATTTAAGTTAACGACAAAATAAAATCTATCTATTCGAAAAAATTTCACAGAAATCAATAATTTAAATCACTGAAAAAATAATAAATACGTCTACGAATATAAATAAATATTAACGTAATAACATATTTATAACATATTTTACCATTATATATATATACGGATATATATTTATATAATATATATATAAATTTGTATAACAGATTATTTTGTAAAATTATTAATTTATTATGATAATGTTTTTACGTTTTTAAAAATAAACAATTGGAAAAAAATTGAAAAGTTTCATTCATTTTTCTGTAACAGTCTAAGCCAACCACACACTCACACGCCACACACGCACGCACACAGCATACATTTAATATGTGGGGATCTTTTTGCCTTCGTATCCAGTCACTGCAAAAAATGGCTTGGCATCTTTAACCATTTAGCCATCAAGGCGCCCTCGATAATGTATTGGGGTTATATTTTGGCTGGAAATTTAGATTGTTTATTTCACGGTAAAGATAACAATGTCATTCATTATATATATTTTTAAAATTAGAAAAAGAGTTGTTAAAGGATTGGAGGTTAACAAATTAGTTTTGTTTCGGTGTTAAAAACTTATTAAAAAAAAGGGTTTTCTATTTTCTTGTTAAATGTCCGTGGAATACGTGATTAATTTAGATTTATTTCGAATTTCAAGTAAAAAACCCAGCTATATCCAGTATTCAAATCCAATTATAAGCCAAATGAAGTTTTTTGTTCTTCGTAATGCAGCTCTAACATACACAGAACTGCTTATAACATGTGATTCTCTAATTATAACTGAATCCTCGTACCAAAAAAGCTGCAACGTCCAAACCACACCACGTGACACGTACACACCACACATCCATACTACATTTTTGTACCTATGTATGTGTAAACTACGTCACATAATAAACACATAGCGTATGCTAGTTTTTCTATTTAGGACGAACTGTAATCGAACTAGGTCGTCACGCAATAACAACGCAAGATATGTCACTTTTACTGAATGAGCTAACTCGTCGAACAAATATTTTTCGAGATGTGACATTTTAATTGATTCGCAGTACGGAAAGATTTGTCCCGGGCCGCTATCCTTAAAAGGCAATTAGAAATTAGCTGAGGGCAAGTATAGCAATTTGGAAGAACTTTCAAGTTTTTTGATGTTTCTTTGATGGTAATTAATTATCCATTACGAGTTGTCATGAGATGTGAGATAATTCACGGGAAAATACCAACAGAACTTTTGATTCTTCGTACATCAGAAACTTTTTATTGCGATTTTAGAGTTTTAATTTTGATCAATTCATGCCGTTTATTTTGTGAGCAAACAAAAGTTTAACATGATTGAATTGGGTTAAAAAAGTGACTATAGCTCAATTCTAGTAAGCTAACCTATGGCTTCCGTAAGCCACCGATTTCATCGAACAGAAAACAATTTTTATATTCTAATTAACAAAAATAATTTAATAATACATAATTTTATGTAATAAAATCAAATTATTTAATAAAATTAAATAGAATTACTACATTGTTTTAGCTTGCTCGTTAACTCCCACTCTCATGCAATTTCATAAGTAAGCCAATAAGCCAACAATCCAAGAAAGTCACATAGCCCGATCCACTGCCTGATGTTACGTAATATTCTGAGACTTCGACGAAATGTCTGGAGGTGCTAAGGAGGCCAAAAGATCTACAAAATCGTACAAAAATTTATTCAAAGTTGATCTATCAAAGATAAAATCTGCCAAAAATGTCAGCAGGTCTAATAGTTATGTTGCTAATTGTGGCCATGATGCTGTCACTGGTGATGGTGAAGATGATGTAGGTAGAAGTAATAATAGGACTACTAATACAAGGGACTTTGACGACGGTGATGATGGAGATAATGATTTGAATGAGCTGGTTGGTGTGCATGTGTACAGTCAGAAGGACCTGGAACAAGGTAGTTTTTTTAAAATAAGGAAATTTTATTTTTATTTCATTTATTTATTTTTTAATTATTAATTTTAATTAATCATTCTGATAAATATTGAATGGAATAGATAATAATTGATTCAAAAAATTGTTTTATTTATAACTCTAGGTGTTATATCTCAGGTGAATGAAGCCATATTGGCTGAGGACCAACAGAGAGAGCTTGATTCTATTAATCAGGATTTGGCTGCCATTGAAGAAGACATCAAGTCGGAAAAATATTAATAATAATAATTATTATTATTATTATATATCTATAATAATAATACAACAATAATAATTTACATACATGCATTTTTACTCACTAGTACATGCAAACCAAAGTTATGTTAACTATGTATGCATGTGTAAAACATGTGTTTGAGTGTTTAAACTGTGTATGTGTTAATATATGTGTGTGTTTGTGTGTATGTGTGTGTGTGTGTGTGTGTGTGTGTGTGTGTGTGTGTGTGTGTGTGTGTGTGTGTGTGTGTGTGTGTGTGTGTTACATACACATTACAATTTATTCTAAAAAGATGTGCATCAATTATAACTAATTATTTTCTAATGCTAAAATCAGATCAGGTGAAGTTGAGCTGGCTAGATTAAGATGTGTGCTTAACACACTTTCAACCACCACAAGGGCCACAGCAACGGCAACGACCACAGCAATCACAACAACTACAGCAGCCAATACTTCATCTAGTAGTACCACATCGAGACAGTTGAAACATGAACACATGATGCTAAAGAAACAAATTGAAAATAAGGTTTATTTCATCAGAATGAATAAAAAATTATTCCTGTAAATTTAAACACACATACGCACACACACGCACGCACGCACACGTATATATTCAAATACACACACAGCACATACTAGATACATATATAATAAAAATACATACATGTACCTTTTGTATTATTTAGTGTTTGTTTTCAACTATGTTTAATGTTTGCACATTGCATAATTTTGTATAATTGTGTTTAAATTTTGTATACCTTTGCATACTCTTGTATAATTTTGTTTAAATTTTGTATACTTTTGTATATTTTTGTATGTTATTTCCCAAATTAGGAGCACCAACTGCATACTTTAAATGTCAGGAAAAAATTTTTGACACAGAAATTACTGGATATTAAAACAAGTAATGGTTGTTGTTTTTGTTGTTTGTTGTCTGTCTGTTCATCTGTTTGTTTGTTGGTTGGTTTGTTTTTCAGGGATAGTTGTTTAGTTAGAGTTGTGTTTTTTCTAAATTTTTAAAATTAATTGTATGACAGAATAGTGTGTTTGTTGTTGACAAAATTTGTATGCTTTAAAAAATTTGTATTTGTATGTTTGTATGTTTTATAAAATCTTTTCCAATAGTTCCCCTTTGTTTTTTTTTAACTTTTTGCAACTATAAAATTTTTTTTAGAGTGTATGATATTATTTTCATCGAAATGGCCGTTTCAATCAATCAATCAAAGATTGTTATAACTAATTGTCACTAGGAGTTTTTCATTTGTTTTGTCTTGTTCTCATCCACAGGACAACAGGGCCACCATCATCATCATCAACAACAACACCACCATCACCATCATCATACATCGTCATCACCAGTATTGGCATCATCATCATCTTCCTCGTCGAAGGCAGCAACATCTGGAAGTTTGTTGTTGAATAACAACGAGAAGAGAAGACGCAATGATGATTGTGATAATGATAATGATGATAATTATAATGGTAATGATGGTGGTTGTGATGATGATGGTCATACAGCTAAGAGGTCCCAAATTAAACCAAGAAAGTATAAAAAAGATTGCAGAAGTAAAAGTTTTCGTGTTATAAATGATGAGGAGGATGACGATGATGATTTAAGCAAACCATTTGGTGATAATAATAATAATAATAATGATGATGATGACGAAGACTACAGTTATGATGATGGAGAAGAAGACTGGGAAACTGATGATGATCTTGGATGTGAGTAAATGACGTCTTCGTAGTCACCTCATCATCATCCTCATCATCATCCTCGTCATCATCTTCGTCATCATCTTCATCATCATTCTCATCATCGTCGTCATCATTTTCGTCATCATCAGCTTCATTGTAGAAGCGGCAATACTAATGCTACTATTACTAATAGTTGTAGTGGAAGAAGCAGCAGCAGCAGCAGTAGTAGTAGTAGTAGTAGTAGTAGTAGGGCAGTCTTATTATCATCATCTCCATCATCATGGTCATTGTCATCATTCTTATCAGGCCTTCTAACCATCATTGCTTTTACATCACTTTTAAGATGTAATTTCTAGGGAAAGAAAGAGAGATAAGAAGATTGGAAAGAGGAAGGCGAATGGAAGGAAAAAACTGAAAAAGAATGATGATGACGACAACTGCAACAACAAAGACAACAACAACAATGATAATAATAGTAATAATAATAATAATAATGATATTACTACTACTAATAATAATAATGATAATAATGATAATAATAAAGATGATATTGATGATGATTTTGAAGGAGACTGGTCTGAAGAAATGTTTTATAAGAGAATCAGGTATATTCATTAAATCAGATATTTGTACTTATCAGCGTAAATTTTTTTTGAAGTTAACTATAATTAGCTATTAATTATAACTAATAAATTAACTAATTAAATATAATTGGTTAGTAATTTTAATTAATTGAAACTAGATCTTGAAATTTTAAAGTTTTTCAGTTTTTTTTTAATGAAATGAAAATTTTTTCGTCAATTCATTTACAGAGGGAAAAATTTGGATGTGGTTGTTGGCGTTACTGACGATGGGGATAAAGACGTTGGATGTGATTTCAGGATATCTTCCAAGTTTTGGCAGAAGCTATTTGCGTTAGTGGCTGCATGACACATGAATGTGTGGATGAAGGATTTGTGGGTTTGGGATTTTTAAACGATTTCAAGATTGTGAAAATTTATCTGGGTGATAATTTTAAATTCTTCATTCAATCATCATTTTCTCCTTCTTTTTCATTATCTCCTCCTTCTTCTTCTTCTTCTTCACCGTCAACATGTTTACTTCTTCCTCTTCTTCATCACCATCATCTTCATGATCATCTTCAATAGCTACCAGAGACTGGGTGTTCGGTGGTTAAGGGAGCTCCACGTTCAGCAAGTTGGTGGGATCGTTGGGGACGAGATGGGACTAGGGAAGACTATCCAGCTGATTGGCTGGTTGAGTGCTCTGCAGAGGAGTCGAATCGTCGATCGATCTATGATTCCTAGGTTTTGTTTTATGTATCTTTGCTTATTTTTAATCGTTTTTTGTTGTAAATCAACCAACCAATCAAATTACAACTCAGTCAACTAACCAACCAATTACCAATCAATCAATTAAATTACAACTCTATCAACCAATCAAATGACAACTCAACCAATCAACCAATCAAATGACCGCTCAACCAATCAACCAATCAGCTACGAGGGATTAGGACCTTGCCTAATAGTCAGTCCTGCAACTGTGATGAAACAGTGGATTAAGGAATTGCTAAAGTGGACCCCTCACTTCAGATGTGTGCTCGTTCACTCGTTCTCCAAACGCGAAGATCGGAAACATGTGAGTTCGTGGTTGTGTGCGTGCGTGTGAGTGTGTGTGAGTGTGTGACAATGGTAAGGATTATGATGATGACGATGATGATGATGATGACGCGGTCATATTGTAATTATAACATTGAGAGTTATGCACACACACACACGCACATACATACACACACACACACACACGCACACACACACACAAATACACACAACAACCGACCAACAGTCTAGACTACTGGCTTCGATCTTCAAACGTCACACACCACAAGCACAAGAACGCGGACGCCAGCAGCAACCACAACAGCCACCTCTTCATTCGACCATTGTCGTCTCCAGCTACAACTTCATTCTCCGAAACTGTGACACCTTCTTGAAACACCCCTGGCATTATGTTGTCCTTGATGAGGGGCACAAGGTCAGAAACCCCGATGCCAAAATCACCCTCGTCTGTAAACAGGTTACGAGAAAATTAGTTTTCTTATTTAGTTTTTTGTTTGTTATATTGTTTTTTTCAATGTCATCAGCATCGTCATCGTCCTCATCATCTTCATCATCTTCATCGTCCTCATTACAGTTCAGAACATGTCATCGAGTCATCTTATCCGGCTCTCCGATACAAAACAACCTTAAAGAATTGTGGTCCTTGTTCGATTTTATCTTTCCTGGGAAGTTAGGTTAGTTTAATTGATCGATTGATTGATGAATAATTTGATTGATTGATTTGTTGGTCTATTGGTTTATGTTTTATGGTTTTGATTGCTAGATAGATTGAATGATTAACCACTTGATTGGTTTGTTTTGTTGGAATCACAAGGAACTTTGCCCGACTTCATGACACATTTCAATGTTCCAATTGTTCAAGGCGGGTATGCCACATCATCAGATATACAGGTAGGTTAATAATGGCAACTAGCCACCACGTTATGTAGTAACCAGTCAACATTCACCTGTCACTATTATAATTGTGTGATGATGACGAACGAGGTGATGATGATGACGAGATGGTGATAAGGTGACGACGATGATGATGACATTAATGTGTGATGAGAGAGGATGTGGCTGGTCCCTATGTTACCGAAATGAAAATAAAACAAAAAAATTGAAGGTATTTTATTAATTACGAAAACCCCAAAGGTGGAAACGGCCCACAGATGCGCCAAAGCCCTGCAGGATACCATAGCCCCCTACCTTTTGAGAAGAACGAAACAACAAGTGGCCAGTGACATCGAACTTCCGTCGAAAAATGAGCAGGTTCTCTTCTGTAGGCTTACCGACCTTCAGAGGGAACTTTACGAGGATTATTTGAAGTCAAAAGATTGCAGGTCCATTCTTGAAGGGCAGTCTTTGGTCAGTTTGGGATTTTGGGGTTTAGGATTTTGTTGCTGTTTTTAATCATCTTTATTGATTTGGTAGGTTATTTCAGGATTTTTTTGTTGTTTTTAATCATCTTTATTGATTGCTTTTAAGTTGGGATAATTCACGGGGTGATATGATATAAGTGCAAAAATGATTTTTTTTAAATTTTTTTTGTGATTAAATTGAAACGCCACATTCTTCCCAGATATTTCCCGGTTTGATCAAACTGAGAAAACTTTGCAACCATCCAGACTTGTGCACCGGCGGTGGAGGTGACGATGACGACGACGACGACGATAAGGCACTTGGCCATGACTCCAACAAAAAAGGTGATTAAGTCGATGATATTATTTATTTATAATAATGATTAGATGATAATTTATAAATTATATATTATAAAAATGATGAAATAATTGCCAGAATGGATCTTGAACCCTGATGAATTTGCAGATTTTAGCTTTAAGAAGGTTGGTAGTTATGGCTTCTGGAAGGATAGTTGTAAGATGGTCGTGCTAAAGTCACTTCTGCCTCTTTGGAAGAAACAACAACACAAGGTTCTACTATTCAGTCAAGGAAGACAAGTTCGTCTGTGTGTTTGTCTGTCCGCCTGTGTGTGTGTCTGTGTCTGTGTGTATATCTGTGTGTGTTTGTTTGTCTTTGTGTGTGTTTGTTTGTCTGTACGTGTGCATGTATCTGTGTGGCTGTCGTTGTTATATATTAATTATTATCGTGTATATTGTTATATTATTTCGTTTTTAATAATATATATCACTTCACATCATATTCTCGATATTATCATTTGATTAGATGTTGGACATCATAGAGCAGTTCATTAAGCAAGAGGGATACACCTACTTACGTATGGATGGCTCCACAACTATTCAATCCAGGCAGAATCTCGTTTCCAAGTTCACTGAGGTTCGTCTTTTGTTGTTTTTTATCTTCTGTTTTGTTGTTTTTTGTGTTGTTGTTGTTGTGTTTACGTTTCGTTGTTGAAGTTTCTTCTTCATTCAGTTGATTGCGATGTTTTCATTTGTGCTATCGACAGATAGGATGGTAATAAAAAAAATTTGTATCTGCCAGGATCCATCGATATATCTGTTCCTATTGACCACTCGCGTTGGAGGGCTTGGCCTCAACCTGGCTGCTGCTAACAGGGTCATCATATTTGACCCAGATTGGAACCCCAGCACTGGTCAGTTTTTATAGAACGATGTTGCTGATTGGTCAGTTTTTTTATAATGTCGTTCGGTTATTGGTAATTTTTTGATTCATCAATTTTGAAGTTCACAAAAGTACACATATACACAATAACATCTATCTACACGCACGCACGCACACACACACACACACACACACACACACACACACACACAAACACACACACAGACACACAGGCCAAAGAGAGGGCATACAGGATTGGTCAGAAGAGTAACGTGACCATCTATCGTCTGCTCACGATGGGTACCATTGAAGAGAAAATGTACCACAGGTATTTATTTATTAAGCGTATTTTCTGGTATATCGTCTAGGAATACCTAGAATAAACCGCAGATTATGATAAAATAACTGCTTCGGTTTGTTTTACCGACAGATTAACTTCTGATTACTTGAAAAATTTCGCACGTCTTCATTCACACACAGACAGATTTTCAAACAGTTCCTCACTAATCGTGTCCTGGACGACCCCAGACAGCAGAGATTTTTCAAGTTCAATGACCTCCATGACCTTTTCACACTCGGCAACGATGACGTAACTGCCGGCACGGAAACAAGCGCCATCTTCGCCGGAACTAGTTCCAGCGTTCGGGCGAAAAGTCTGAAGAGGAAGATGAAAAAGAAAAAAGAACTTAAAGAAAAGAAAAAGATGAAGATGACGATGAAAAGTGAGAGGAAGGTTAAAAGTGGAGAGATTGATGGTAAGGGAGTGGGTGGCTGGAAAAGACGAACTAGAAGTGATACGCAGAAAAAATATGATAAAAATGATGATGCCAGTTACAACAAAACCAACTACAATGATGATGATGATGATGATGATGATAACTTTGATGATGATGATAATGATGAAGAAAATGATGACAACCGTAACGATGACAGCGAAGTTTTAAATAATGGCGACAAGGATGACAATAGTTTTAAATCGCCTACCATCTCCCTTGCTGTTGATGACGTAAAGAAAAATAAAATGATGGAGATGGCTAGGCGATTAAGTGCTATGATTGGTAAGCAGCAACAACCACTACAGCAGCAACAGCAGCCACTACAACCACTACAGCAGCCACTACAACCACTACAGCAGCCACAACAACCACTACAGCCACTACAACCACTACAGCCACCACAAGCACAACAGCCCCTACAACCACTACAGCAGCCACTACAACCACTACAGCAGCCACTACAACTACTACAGCCACCACAGCAACAACCACAACTACAGCAGCTACAAGAACAAGACAAACAACAAAAGATTCGTCACAGAAAACACCATCAACACAGCAGTCATCTTAGACATAAGAAGAAAAAGCATGCTGGTTTGTTATTCTTTCTCATTACAGCCATTTCTTTCGTCATTATTGTGATTTTTTATCACGGTCATTTTTTAACTTTTATTACGGTTAATCTAATCTAATCATCATCATGATCTTATGAAAGCGTCAAAACCACCATTATCATAATCATTATTGTCGTCGCAATCATCATCAACATCATCACTATCATCATCACCATCATCGTTGTCGTCATCAACACAATAATCCTCATCATTATCATCGTCATTCGTCATCATCATTATCATCATCAACATCATCACAATCATCATCAACATTATCATCTTCGTCGTCGTCTTCATCAACACAATAATCCTCATCATTATCATCGTCATTCGTCATCATCATTATCATCATCAACATCAGCTTCATCACAATCAATCATCAGCATCATCATCGTCGTCGTCTTCATCAACACAATAATCCTCATCATTATCATCATCAACATCAGCTTCATCACAATCAATCATCAGCATCATCATCGTCGTCGTCGTCATCATCATCACAGATGAAAAAGACATCACAATGGATGGCCATGTAATTAAAAATTTGGTCAAAATCATTCCAGCCCGCTACACGACCGATGATGGCGATGACGTCACTAGAAAGAGTGATAATAAGAATAAAAATTATAACGAAAAGAGAATTAGTAAACGTTGCGACGATGATGATGATGATTACGTTTTGTCGAAGTTGTTCAAAAAATCAGGTATCATCATTTGTGTATGTTATTATCTATTATCATCACTATACATCACATCTACACACATACTCACACACACAAAAACACACGTACACACACAGACACACACACTCACTCGTACACACACACAGACACACACACACACACACACACACACACAGACGTACACAGCGTCATGCAACACGACCGCATCATGAACCAGTCTCGCCCAGACTACGTGCTCGTGCAACTTGAAGCCATTAAAGTGGCCGAAGAGGCCGTGATGATGTTGAAGCGGTCGCAGGAAAATTGTCGACGCCACTCGTCAGCGACGTCTGGGCGTCTAGACGTCCATCGTCCGACATGGACTGGTAGAAGTGGTGAGGTCGGCGCGCCTGGGAGGTTTGTGGCTGCTGTGGTTACTGTGGTTTTGGCTGCTGTGGTTTTGGCTGCTGTGGTTGTGGCTGCTGTGGTTATGGCTGCTGTGGCTGCTGCTTCGATATCGCGTGGTTGTTTGATTGTGTGATTATTATAATTATTGTTATTCTGTAGGAAGAGGTTTGGAGATAAAAAGTTGGCAAAACCGAAGCCAGTCAACCCATCGTTTCTGTCTTCACCACAAACATCTTCTTCGTTATCATCAACAGTGTCATCATCATCATCACTACCTTCGTCATCATCATCATCAACAGCAACAACATCGACGACAGCTTCATTTTCAGCATTTCTATCATCTACGTCATCGTCGTTATCCTCAAAAACCACTTCCTCCCCCTTACCACCATCATCGAGATCATCATCATCATCGAGATCATCATCGTCGTCATCATCCCTATTGCGCAATGGAAAATTTAACGGAACGGCACTGTTTGATGACGCTATTCGTCACGTGATCAGCGGAATATATGGCGATGGTAGTGATGATGATGGTGGTGGTGGTGATGATGATGACAATAGTAAGACGACGAAGATCATAAACTGTCAAACGGTGAACAAGAATGTGATGCCATCCAGCCAACTACTCTCTCTGCTGAATGCCAGGAACACTTCGCTACGTCCTGCAAGCGCCGATGCAGAAGACGATGACGCTGACAACAACAACAACAATGATAATAATAATAACAACAATAACAACATAAATCTCGCTAGCAACAATCCCAGCAACAATTTAACCAACGACAGCAGTTTCTCAGATGTTTACCGGTCCAAATCAGCCACAGCAATCGGCAGCAGCAGCAGCGCCACTGAGGACCCAGGCCACTTTGGCCTTGAACTTGCCGCCGAGATAAAAAGATTTGTAAACAGAAGCACGTACAGCGACTGCACACATCAGGCGAGTTCCGAGCAACTGGTGAAGTACTTTAAAAATAAAATCCATCCATCCCAGTCGGCCATCTTTAAGGAGATTTTGAAGAGGGTTTGCTCTTTTAAGAAGGTCCAAGGCGTCGGGGTTTTTTATATTAAAAGTGGATTTAAGTCTTGATGACTTAGTGTGTGTTGTGTGTGTGTGTGTGTGTGTGTGTGTGCGCGCGAAATACTAACTGATCTTCATTTAATGCTAATTAACATCCGGAATTTCAACTTATCAATCAATCAATCAATCAATCAATCAATCAATCAATCAATCAATCAATCAATCAATCAATCAATCAATCAATCAATCAATCAATCAACCAACTGTGCTGCTTGCACATTAGTTCGCGCGTTTTATTAATGCTTCACAATTAACATCGATTCTGATCTTAAAGTTGATGACGGCCACTACGTTTTTAATGTCTGCTGATGTCAGTGATGATGTCATTTATAATAATTGTCATGGGATAGTAAGCAACAGCAGCAGCACGAACAGTTTCACGAGATAACTCGACAACAGTTTTACTTCATTTTTTTTCCTTGCTTTCTGCATTTTAAATTCATTTTAGATTCATTCGTACATCTCAGAAGGTTTTATATTGCGATGAAAGAAAATCGAATGATAAATGATGATATTGTTTGTTATTATTTTACTACAAAAAATTCCCCCCCCTCAAAATTGAAACCAATTTCAAAATGTGAATGGTCTCCCAAAATTGAAACTAATTTCAAAATGCGGGTGGTCTTAGGGACGAGGGGGTGGGGGTTGGGGCTCTCTTAGAAGTAGTCCGGACTTCTTCATTTTCAACTCCAAAACGGAGTCAAGAGAACTCTTTGGCGTTACTTCTGTTGACCTTTCCAATTTTTTCAAATACCAATTGTCATCTCCTGTGATGATGGTGGTGATGACAATGATGATGGTGGGGTGGCAATGATGACAGTGATAATCATAACGACGATGATGACGACGACGATCATAAGGTGGCTGATGATAATTAGTGCAATAATGATGAAACGAAGATGTTGGTAATGATAATAGAGTTGACGATGTTGATTGTATGTAATGGCAACAATTACGATGATGATGACGATGGTGATGATGATAGTTAAGAAAATATTAGTGGTAATGATGATGATGACGAAGTGTTTTTTACAACTTCTTTTAAATGACTTCTGGACAGTTGTCCAGTAAAGTGATGGAGACACGGTATCTCTGGTACATGATAGATATGTTTTGTAACGCATGTTGTTATTGTTGCTGTTGTTGTTGTTGATGGTGGTGTTTTGTTGTTATAATGGCCTTAATTTTCATATGTGTACATAATGAAATGTATGCACACACACACACACAAGTATGCAGGCTAAAACAACGTTCATACAACAACATCAAACAAAACTTACCGATGAACCTGCTAATTCTTATCCGTTTTCACTTCGTTATGTTTCGAACGAAAAACTAAACAAACAAACGAGAGCTAAACAAACAAACAAACAGACAAACAAAACAAAAACAATTAATGACAAACGCATATAAATCAATACAAAACCGGATATACTTTTGAAGATTTATTGCGCATGAATGGGGGTGTGTACGTGTGTTTAATTGCGCGTGTGTTTGTATATGTGCGTCGGTGCGCTTATGCTTACACGTGTGAATATAAATGTGTGTTTGTGTGCGTGCGTGCGTGCAAATGTGTAATATGTTTGTGGTCTCACGCAAATAATGTAGTTTGGACGTATTTAGGTATATCTGGTTATTCCTGTACGCTTATCAATCGGCATACATTATATGAATGTGTACGTGATACAAGCACACACACATACACACGTATATATATATATATATATACACACACACACGTACATAAATATAACGTACGAATAACGTTGTGTATGTGCGTGAATAAACATATGCGCGTGTGATAATAGCAAATGTGAATATGATAATAGCCTTGTAGAGGGCAGACCAAGAGATGTAAAAGATTAATTTTGTTCAATCCGGATATATGTTTAAAGTTTATTTTCAGGCTTTTTCGTTTTTTTTATTTTTTGGTAACATGATAGCAGGTGAGTGTGTTGTGAAAAATGTATGTTGTAGTGGTAGTAGTAATAGTAGTAATTGTAGTAGTAGTAGTAGTAGTGGTTGTTGTTGTAGTGGAAGTACAAGTAGCAGCAACAAAATTTTCAGAAATGTAGTTTTGGTATTTAGTTGCCGAGTGTTTCCATGCTGCTCTTTTATTGAATTATCATCACCACCATCATCACCACTACCAACACCACCATCATCATCACTACCACCGTAATCATCAATACCACCATCAGCCGCAGCAGTAGTAGCTCCATCATCGTCGTCGTCTTCATCATCATTTTAATGATGTTGCGACATAACAAATATTCATGCGGCCACTTATATTGTTTACATGGATATTGTGACGTCATTGTAACGACGCCATAGGAAAAAAATGACGTCATCGTCGTCGTCATCTTTTTCCCCCATCATCGTCGTCGTCATCATCATCACTTGGGTCATCGACACTTTCCTTCATCAAACTTTTTCGTCATTTTAAATTTACATTTTGTTTTTTATCATTATCATTTATCCTTAACAAAAATAAATATACTATCGGTATCATTGAAAACTGCTGCAGCAGAAGCAACCACAGTGACGACAAATTTTGGTCCACCAGCGGCCACCTTTGCCACAGCAAACGATCATCCTATTTCCGATGATCACGTGACCTCTACATCATCATCATCGTCATCATTATTATCCTCGTCATCGCCATTATCATCATCCGCATTTTCTTCTTCGTCGTCATCATCATTGTCATCGTCATCATCGTCTTCATCATCACCATCTGCTACCGGAAAGATGAAGATGAGGCATTGGTTATTGCAGCAGGTGGAGTCTGGCAGGTATCCAGGATTAAGGTGCTTATGATGATGATGACGATGTCGTTGGTACTGATGATGATGATGTTGATGACGATGGTGATAAGAAAAGTGATGTTGTTGTTGATGACGCTAATGCTGATGATGATGACGTTGTGACTCTTATGAAGGAGGTTCGTCCATTAATCAATCCGTCCATTCACTCATTCATTCATTTATTCATTCATTCATCATTCATTCATTTTTATTCACTCATTCGCTCAAGATGGCTAGATGATGAAATGAAAATTCTGAAAATTCCTTGGAAGCATGGATCGAACAGTGCGTGGGCCACTAGTGATGGTCAATTGTTTTACAACTGGCTCGCTTATACTGGTCTCCGTTTCATTTTCATTTTATTCTTATAAATTTCTTTTTTGTTTTTCATTTCGTCATCATCATTATCATCATCGACATCATCAATATCATCACCAGCATCATCATCAACTTTATGGTCATCATCATCACAACTGCCACCACCACCATCATCATCATCAGTTCATCATCTTACACCATCACCAACGTCAACACAATAGTACTCATTTCATCATGCTAATTTTATAACCGTTATCATCATCATTATAATGATAATAATAATCGTCATCATCGTCGTCGTCCCAACTGGCACCACCACCATCATCATTTCATCATCTTCAATCATCATCATCACCATCGTTAATCCACCAATGAAGGAAAACTGAGCACATGCAAGTCGAAAACGTTCCGCCGCTTCAAGGCGAACTTTCGATGCGCCCTCAAATCTCTGAAGGACGTTGTCGAGGTCAAGGAGAGGTCAAAAAAGAGCGGGAAAGATGCTTGCAAGGTCTTCATGTTCCTAGATGAGAGGATGAAGAGGATGAGAAAGAGTAAAGGTATGGCAGTGGCTTTGATAATGATGAAAATCATTTGGATGGCGATGATTGTTTATACAGTGGTTATGATAATGATGATGGTTTAGCTTTCAGTTGTTGTTGTTGACGATGGTGATGATGATGATGATGAGGAGGAGGACATATATGATGGTGACGACGACGACAATGACTACGATGACGATGATGATGACGATGATGATAATGATGATGACGACGACGATGATGACGATGGTGATGATGATAACTGCGGTTCTGCCAGAAGTGACGTTGTTGCTGGCGCCGTACTCCATATCTCGAAGAGTTAAGTGGTCATGATGATGATAGTTACGTTGATGATGATGACGATGACAACGATGATAGTGATGATAGCGATAACAATAACGATGATGACGATGATGATAATGATGGTTACTATTAGTGATTGTTGTTTTTAATACTGTTGTTGTTGCTGCTGCTGTTGTTGTTTTTAGTGATGACGTCAAAACGTGATGTTTAAAAAAAAACTACAATGACGTCATCATCAGGGATGTTCTCGACATTTAAAATAGTTACTGTAATGTTGCCGATATCAAAGAGACTGGATAATTAAGTTGGACTTGGACAAAAAAATGAATGGTTAATTTAATTTTCACAAATTCTCGCGGCAGTTGGTCAAATTAGTGTCACATATTCCTAACACCAAGGTATAAAGAATGTTGGCAACAAAAACAACAACAACAACAACAACGTCAGCAACAACAACACTAACAACAACAACTACAACTACATCAACAATGAGATCATTACCAGCAACATTGATGGCATCAATAGCAGTACTTACTATAGCAATAATTACACTAACAACTTCAACAGCACATACATAAGCAGCACTAAAATTGCTGAAAACGTCACTAAAATTAGTAACATTAACAATAACTTGTACAAAAACATCAGTGGTAATGTCATTAACAATAATTACATCAACAGTTTTAACCAAAATAACTTGCGAAACAGGAACAACAACAACAAACAAAACTCGAACATTATAATCATAAACGGAAACATCAGTAATAACAACTACACTACAAATAACTACAATAACATCAACAACAACAACAACTACTACTACTACAATCCCTACTACAGCGACAACATCGACAAAAACAACAACATTCGAAACAACTACAACATATCTCACGATATGGGTATAATCAATTTTAATCAAAAATCCATCAACAAAAACATCTATGACATTAACAAATGCAACGAAGACCGCATGAACAACAACTACATTAACCACAACATTAACAATTGTAGCATTGATAACATCAGCAACACTAGCAACAACCATACCAACTACAACACAACTGACATTAACCTTGACATTCACATTAATGTCGCCAAAAGCAGTGAAGTCATTTTAAATAGCGACAATAATTTACTTGCAAATTACAACTACAATTATATAACCAATACTTTAGATAAGATCAATTCTAATAACAACAACAACAACAGAATCACAAGCGACAACAATATCAACACTAACAACAACACTAACAACGTCAACAATATAAACATAAACGAAGTCAACAACAACAACAATAATGAATGCATAAACCAGGACATTAATGACACCAACAACAACGTCAACAACAACAACGTTAACAACAACAACCACAACGTCAATAGCAACATCATCAACAACAACGTCAACAACAACAACGTTAACAACAACAACCACAACGTCAATAGCAACATCATCAACAACAACATAAACAACAACAAGATCAACACCGAAAATGTCAACCACAATATAGGCACATACAATTTCAATTACGACGACGACGAAAGCATTCTTGTTGACAAAATCATAAACAGCATCATCGAACGCAATTACAACAACAACAACAACAGCAGCAGCAGCATTAACAGCAGTTACAATAACTACAAAAAACTACAACAACATCAACAACAATAATAATAGCAATAGCATTAAGAACAACAATCCTAGCATCAACTCTAACTATTAAAATTCAAACAACAACCATAACAACATTATAAATGACATTAACAATAATTTAAACAAAGATACAATATGCATCGATCATTATTAATATGATGAAAAAAACCAATGGAAGAAAGAACGAACGAATGAAAGAACAAACAAACGGAAGAACAAAGAACAAACAAATGAAAGAACGAACGAACGAACGAGCGAACAAACGAACGAACGACTGGAAAACATAGAAATCAATCAAATCGTAAATGTACACAAGCAGTGACGTCAAATCTGTACGCTAAATGTATGTATGGTTGTTTATATATGAGCGTACACACAATTGTCATCATCATCATCATCGTCATCACAATCATCATCAGTGTCAATGTTTACGTGAATGAATGAATGAATGAATGAATGAATGAATGAGTAAGGAATGAATGAATGAATGAATAAACAAATGTGTGAATAAACAAAGATGATGATGAAGATAAAGTTATTCTTGCTTGCATTGGTGATGACAATGATGATGACGAGAACGATGAGGAAAACTTGATGATGACGTTCGATGACGACGAAGATGATGATGCTGATGACGATAGCACATAGATAATAATAAGTAAATATGATAAGTTGAATAAGTCAGTGACGATGGCTGTACTACTTGTAAGAAGAATGAAGATGTTGTTGGTGTTGATGATGAAGATGAGAGTGATGATGATGAAAATGGCGGAAATGGCGGAAATTGCATCCAAATGATATTCTCTTAGACGAACGCATGGAAACAGCAATGGGAACAACGGTAGTAACAAAAGCAGCTTCTTTTGCGACAAGCCAATGGACAAAGTGATGCTATTAGAAACTTCTAAAGTTTCAAATACTGTTACTAATACTACCAGTGTGTTAATTTCTTTACTACTATTACTATTACTACTACTACTACTACTACTACTACTACTACTACATCTACTACCACAAATACTACTGCTACTACAACTGCTACTACTACTGCTGCTACTACTTCTACAATAATGCCACTAATACAAATATGGATTCATTTTCCAATGCTTTAAGCAGTTGTTTACGTTATGTTGGATATTTGCTTGAATGTTATCATGGTTTGCGAAGCTGCATCGTACACACACACACGCACACCACACACACACACACACACACACACACACATACATATACACACATACATATACACACATACATATACACACATACACACATACATATACACACATACACACACACAAATAAACTCACACATCAGCACATACAAACATTTAAATATAAATACAGACACACCCGTTGGACTCATTTTTATTTATTTTATATTTGTATATTAAATGGTTTTAATACCATGTTTAACATTAATAAGCTTCTATCTCTGTTTTCTTTCCATAATTTTCATGATTTTGCAAAGAATTAAAAATAATATTGAAGCTTATACGTCATAGATTTCTAAAATAATATTGTAAACAAGAACTTCTTTTATAAAATTTTTAAGAATAAAGTAGAGTCTCATTAACTTTTGAATCCGTGGAGAATGAGATTAAAAATGATTTAAAAGACGGATGTGTGCTTGTATGTCTTCTTCTTCTTCATCATCATCTTTCTTCATCATCAAATTCTTCCACATCATCCTCCACTTCATCGTCATCTTCTTCGTCGTCATCATTTTCATATCATCTTCAACATCATCTTCTTTTTCATCATTTGTCTGTCGGTCATCGCCTGATTCGTTTGTTATCATCCTCTTCATCGTCGTTGTTGCCATTTATGACGTCATGGTTGTTGATGTTGTCAACAGCAGTAGTATCAGCAGTAGTAGCGTCAGCCGCTGCATTGTTGTATCATCGTCATTACCATTATCATCTTCACCATCATCATCATCAACGCCATTAACATCATCATCATCGTCAGTCGTCATGGCTCACGGCAAATGCACCCAACAAAAACAGCAGACCATCCAGCCAACCAACCATTCAACCAACCAACCATTCAACCAATCAATCAACCAACTAACCAACCAACCAACCAACCAGCCAACCAACCAACCAGCCAACCAACCAGCCAACCAACCAGCCAACCAACAACTCCCATGAATCCATTCTTTCGACGCGTTTAACTCATTTTGAATTATTTTATTTTTTCATCGGCTTATATCGAAATTCTGATATTGATGATAATGATGATGCGGAAAAAGAAGATGATGATGACGATGATGAGGATGTTTGACCAACCAACCAACTGACAGTCTGACCAACCAATCCAACCAACCATCCAGCAAAAAACCAAAAAGCAAATGAGAAATTGACACAGCAAGTTTTAAAAAAATCATATAATACATATACATCACATGACATGCATTAGCGAGAATCCATTAATAGATTAGAACACAATGCAGACTGGGCTCACAATATTCATTCACAAATTATGGGTTCACACACACAGACACACACAGGCACACGAAAACACACACAAACACACACAGGCACATAGGCACACACACAAAATAAACGTTATAAAAACATATGGACCCATCAAAGTATGTAAAAATTCACGTAGAGGCTAATGCAAACAAGCCCATGTTCACATAAATATGGCCAGACTTATAATAAAAATGTTTATTTACACAGATGGAATCCCAAGAACACACCACACACACACCACACACCCCACACACGCACGCACGCACGCGCACACGTACGCACGCACGCACACACGCACACATACATACATGCAACCAATCATACACATGCAACAAAACAAGCACCGTGCATAAAAACAACTTTTGAATACATATACACATGCAAATGCACACACACGCATACTAAAACAAGCATTGAAACATCTTTGTATAAATACAAATATACAAACGTCAATATATTTTGCTTTGCGTGCAAATAAGCCAACGTGAAGTTCACGTGGGAAAATTTGCATAAAAAAATTAAACATATACTTACATACAAATTTTTTAAACAT